GGAATGTTGAATGGTATGGTCTCGTTTCATTCCTATGTATAAAGGAACTCATTGGCATGATTCAAAGCTCACTCTTCTTTTGCTTTGGATATTCGATAACTGGAGCATGGGTCAGAGAAAGAGAAAAGAAGGGTCAGAGAAAGAGAAAAGAAGTGCAGAAATGAAAAGGTAACAGAGAAAGAGAGCTGATATAATCTCCGGTACTTGAAGCATGGGTTAGAAAAAAAAGAAATGAATAAAGCGAAGTTATGTAAAAAAGTACAAATCCTAAACCCAATCGCAAAGTCATATAAAAAGAGGATACCAAAATTTTCTAGTATCAACTTACTACCTATCTAATCACCATTAGATTAACATTTTATCTTTCTTAAAAGTTTTTTTAACATTCTCTCTTTAATCCAATGGTAATGTGATGGATAGTAAATTAGTAGTGAGAATTTTTGGTAGTTAGAATATCCCCACTCATAAAAAAAAGTACAAATCCTAAACCCAAGACCTCGTAACGACACATAGTCATTTTGTATCTTTTATCCATTTGCAACGTCCACCTCATTCGCTTGAGGATTTGACCGTCAAAATCTTTGTTGGTCCATCTCCCCATTTCATCGAAGAGTACAAAAATAATGTCAACCAGTTTAAATATCAGAACAATTTGTTCCCGGAGTCATATATATAACGAGATTCTGATGGTCCTAAAATAAATAATAAATAAAATAATTTTAACTTGTTTATTTATAATCACTCATCATTTAAGATGAAAAAAAAAATAGAATTCTAGTCAAATAAGTTGCTTATTCATATATACAGGCTTCCATAACTCCAATCCGAAAAATGATGCAGGTGATAGATGCTCTTTTTTTTTGGGAATTTGTCATCGGGGTCTGCGGGTGATAGTTGCTAACCTAAGGGACAACAACCGTTTTGGTACTTTGTGGCAAAGTTTATATCAAAATGTCACATTTGAGAAACATTTTCTCAAATAGCCATAGCCAAAGTCCCATCTTTGGATTCAACAGGACACGTTTTGCCACATGTCACAATGTGAGAGTCTGATTGTCCGAAAATTTTATGATACTACCGCACCATTTATTTAGTGCGACCCAAAAAAATAAAATCGAAGTGGGGGCATTTGGTAGAAGAGAATTTTTTTTTTATCCGAAAATTTCAATTTTCAGAAATATAATTTTGATATCTAGTTTACGATAATATCTGAAAATTAAAAATTTAGAAAAATTTAATTTCTTGAGAATTTCCAAGAATCCCGCATACCAAAGGGCCCTAAGATAATGTAAATCATAGTTATTAAAACCGGACCGACCCGGCCGGGTTGACCTGGGAACCGGTAAACCGGTCATATAATCGGTCCAGTTGAAGTAACGGACCGACCATGCATCAGAACCGGTGCTACCCGGCCGGTTTTCATGAAAACCGGTGACCCAGTCGGTTAACCGGTGATCCGGCTCGGTCCTAAAAAAAAATCCAAAAAAAAATCATAATGGATATATTTGAATATTTTTTTGCTTATTGACTGACATAAGTTATGTACCTACAACACTAATATTATCTCAATTATTCAGAAAATTTTGATTTGATTTATAGTTAGAAATGTCATTTTTTGAATTTAAAGCCCCGTATCACGATCATTATATTTTTATTTGATCCTTTATTGGATAATAATATGTGATTTATTATTTTTTATATTAAAGTATTTGAAATTTTTATTTTTTTTAGATATTTGAGTGTTCATAATTTTTTAATATAAATTATAAAATTACATATAATTACCGGGTCATACGGTTGAATCAGTGACTCACTGGTTAAACCAGTGATCCACTGATCCAGTAATAATCGAGTCGGTTTTACTAACATTGATGTAAATTGTACGGATAAGAAATTAAAAAAATAAAATAATTGAAGTGTTAAAAAGGTGAATGGAAGTCGTATGTTTGTACTTTGTACTGAAAAAGCGCTCCTGGTGGTCAGACCCAATAGCACTAGTGGACCAATCCCATTAATATTCCCACTTTTTTTTTTTGTTGGGTACTCAACTATATTCCCACCTTTTAATGTTGTATTCAATGTATTTGCGGATAATGTGCCCATTAATAATTGGTTGATTAAAAAGAAATCAAAAGATTCTCTTCAATACAGATTGTGAATTCAAGAATTAGAAATTTCTTAACAATTGTATCTAGGGTGAGGTGGCGTAAGGGGGTGTCAAATCTGGCCTAATATATTTAAAAAATTAAAATAGGTTTAGAGCTTAAAAAATTTTGTTTAGAAAACAAATCATAGCTTTATTTTTATAAGATTTTATGTTTATCATGTAACATAACATAACTTCATTTTTCTACACACACATTAAAAAGGTGGGGTCCACATGTTTTTCTTTCTCTTTCATCATTTCACTTTCTCTCTCCTTTTTGTTGTGTGTGTTGGAAACAAAACTTAAGTTATGTAACATAACATTAATAAAACTTATTTTTATAAGGCCTGCTTACAAGTCAATTTAAATAGTTTTAATTAATAAAATAATATTCTTTTATTTATTTTTTGTAATTTTTTATTTGCATTGAAATTTGATAGATTTAAATAGGTTAAAGGGCCTAGGGCAGACTCTTTGATTTTTAAATATAAGCTAAGCTGAGTCTATAATTTGATTTACATTAGACTAATTGGTTATGTTAGATTTAAATTTTTTTACATACCTATTTAATTAAAGTCTAGGCTAATCAACTTATTTACACTAGTCACTTTATACCCATCAATACATTTGTTAATTTAATTTTTTTTTAATATTCCCTTTAAGGTAATTAAAAATCCACTTACAAAATTCAATTTTTTTTAACGATTTGTTCAACAAATTGTGTCTGCAAATATTTAATTCTTTTATTGACAATTACAATAAATATTTTTAAATTTAAAAACTTAATTTATTATCATAATACATTGATGTAAATTCTTTTATTGACCCCCAATTTTTTTTTAAGAATTTGCTTAAGTCAAGGTTTGAACTCATGACCCAAACAAACCCTTGAGAGCTCAATTGCCAGTTGAGCTACCTGGGTTGGGGGTTTTAATTGTCAATCTTTAACTAAATAAAGTGGAACAAGTTAGTAATTTTATTTTAATTTTTATTTTACATTCGTATCCTTTTGATTTGCACGTCACTCAGAATATTTGTAACGTCAAATTGTAAACCGTGAAATTTTATTGTTTCAAACTCATATTTCTATCTTTTTTCTAAAAGTATATTTCCATATCTATTGCAGTAAGAAACAACAAGATAATTATCTAAAAAAAAAAAAAAAGCAAGATATGTTTATAAAAAAAAAAAAGAAGAAAAAAAGTAACAAGATATTTTTAAATTGAGGCGACAATTTTTAACACAGACTCATATGATATCAGAAACTCATGTTTGAGTCGACCTATTCTTAAGTTTGTGTAGGTAAATATTGACAAAAATAAATAAATTAGTTGCATGTTAATTCACAACCATGAACTGACACACATTAATTTATTGCAGTTATTCGTATCGTATTGGATTATCCTGTGTCATTACATAATAAATGATATATTCTGAGATTAATAGATTATTTGTTCGTGTCAACCTGCATTATAAATAACAATTTTTTGGAATTGATGAGTTATATGTGTTGTCTGAAAAGCTTTGATCAATTTAAACTTTATGTGTGCCATCTTGAATCGAGACCTTTATTTTTAATATCGTGGGCTCCATGATAATAATGTAAAATAAAAAAATGAATTGCAACTTATTCTACCTTATTTAATTTAAAATTAAGAGGTTGAATAAGGGAAATAAAAAAATGTATTACGATAGTCAGAAATTGATTTTTTAATTAAGAAATAATTATTATAATTGTCAATAAAAAAATAAATATTTGTAAACACAATAGGTTGAAAAATCGTTAAAAAAGCGTTGAATCTTGTAATCAAATCAGCTAATAATTTTTAATTACCTTAAATTGAATATTAAATATTTTTTGTTTTCGCATGGCGCAGTTGTTATAAAGTTTTCAATTCTTGAATTCACAATTAATATTAAAGTAAACTTTTTTGAAAATTTTAAAATACACGGTCAATGGTATTAATCAACCAATACTGTTGGGCCTGACAGCGTACGCAATAATAAGTAATAATTTGAAAATTATTTCTGAAATATGATATTTTAATATTTTTTTTTTTTCAAAAAGTGACAAAACAGTAGTTGTTGTTGTCCCGCTAACCTTAAACCCAATCAATGTTATAATTTTGAAGGCCTAATAAAGTCAATATAGCCCAAATTGAATGAAATAAAAAATAAAAAATCTAGTGGAGTAGGTTCTTTTATGTTAATTAATTTTTCATATAACCTCCAGGGTATTTCATTTAATCAGTCACTTTGTTTTTTTTGGAGTACGGCTCAAAGATTATCACTCGTTAAAGCAATGGTTGTATTGAACTTCGTTATAGGAAGAATGATAAGATTAATTTCCTTCGAAGAAAGAGACACGTCCTCTAACCTCCAATTTTTTTTAAAAAATTTGTTTGGATCAGGTGTTCAAATCAAACAAATCCTTGAAAATTCAGTTGTCAACTAAGCTACTCTTCAAAATTCTTTTATGTTAAAATTTTACATACTCTATTAGTCTGCTTATATATATAAAATTTTTGTGTGTATTTTTGATTTTATAGGAATCCATTTATCAATAATAAACAAATAGATTCAAAAATTTCATTTCTTCGATTAAGCTAAGTATCCATTCAGTCTAGCACATCCAATGTCACCAATCACGAGTTAGTCAAAAACAAAATTGGAAGATTCCCTCTTAGCAGCTGTTGCCTTCACCAAGTGCTGCCGTTTATGGCACACTCGAGACACAAATACCAGTAGACACATCCCAATTGACCACTCTCTCTAACTTCTACTCGAATTGCAACTATAAACTATAAATAAATAAATTGAACGCACACAAACACAAACCACATTCAATCGATCTTCTGCTTTCTTATTCTGCGTGCTGTTTCCCAAGAAAAAAAAAAATTCCGACATGGCTCTCGGGTTCGGGTCATCCGAGGATGTTTCGGGTTTCAAACTCATGTTCCTCCTCGCGGTCATGTACGGCATCATGTCGATGCTGTCCTACTCCGTCCTCCACATGAAGTTCATTAAACCCCTCGAAAACGACGCGCCTCTCGATCGTTTTTCCGAAGCCAGAGCAATCGAACATGTTCGAATGTTGTCCCAAGAGATCGACGGTCGGCAAGTGAGAAATTTGATCACTCTTATTTTATTTTAATAAATTGGGGTTTTGGAGAGTACTGTTTGATATGATATGAATAGCTTTTGAAGGGTAAAAGAAAAACAATGTAGGATGTGAGATATAAAACTAGAGTCTATTAGTTTTCTCATGTTTCTCATAAATGATGTGAATTTGACTTGAATAAGCGGATGCTGACTTTTGATGCATAATTGACAGGAAGGACGTCCTGGATTGAAAAAAGCTGCCCAATATATTAAGGGTCAGCTGGAAGTAATAAAGGAGCGAGCTAACTCCAATATCAGGTTGTAACACTATTTTTTTGATATTCAGATTCTGATTATTATTATTCTTATTATTATTATTATTATTATTTGTCACCCCCTTCTTTTTCCCAACCAATTTTTTATTTGTAATACACATACTTTTTAATACACGATTCTTTCTTTTCATAGCCTGACTGCTTGATTTTATTTCCATTTTTTTTTTTTTTTGCAGAATTGAGATTGAAGAGACTACTGTAAGTGGTTCCTTCAATATGCTCTTTTTGGGCTTCAACATTGCTCTGGGATACAGAAACCATACAAATATTCTTATGAGGTACCTTGGCAGTTGAAAATAGTCTTTTGTATTAGACTTTGTTATATGTATCGGGATTCATGAGTAGAAACTTAACTTTAGTTATTCTTGCGTAATAGTTTACCCCCTATACTTAAAGCAAATTTCACATTTGCAAGCTTAATCACCACTATCTAAATTCAGCCTATACATGAAGGGTCACTGGTTTGTTATCCAAACTAACCAGCAAAGTTTATAAACTCTGATTGCCTGAGTGATACAAACTCCAAAACAACATATTTGTCCCTCTAAGCTGCTAGTATTCAACTACTAAAATGAGTATAAACCAGGCAAAGAAAACAAAAATGTGGATACCCTGTCAAGATCAATGTATGCAGCTTAATTTCCTCAGTAGTAGGGCATACTGGAGTGGCCAGAACTCATGCTAGAACTACAGCGCAACTTCATTGGAAAGAGATAAGGAAAGATGTTCCACAATTTGCAAGCAAATGCTCCACATTCCAGCTAGCTAAATCCAGTAACATGAAGCCAGCAATGTTATTTCAACATTTACCAATACCCAGTAACATCTAGGAAGACATAGCCATGGATTTTAACTGGCTTACCACTATCATAGGATGCACAATCATATTAATGGTTATTGATCTTTTGTCTAACAGTCTAAGTAAGGTCACTTTGCAACCATGAAAGCTAATTATTCTTGTTTTCTAGTTGCTGAATGTTGAGATATATAGTTCCACATTGATTGTATGGGCAACTAGTATGGCCTTTATAAGGCCTTGGGCACTCTCACCCCTTGAGCTAGCTTTTGGGGTGGTGTATCCCAAGGTTCTTTACATGGTATCAGACCCTCACCGTCCCCCACTTTAAAGTGGAATTAAAATAAAAAGCACAAAAAGGTAAACCAAAAATTGAGCCTGTGCAATTCCACGCTTCTAGCTCAAAGGGCTCTTGCGTGAGGGGGCGTGTTGAGATATATAGTTCCACATTGATTAGATGGGCAACTAGTATGGCCTTTATAAGGCCTTGGACACTCCCACCCCTTGAGCTAGCTTTTGGGGTGGTGTATCCCAAGGTTCTTTACACTGAACAGTTCATTCACACTGATATTTTATTGAATCATTTTCATTTTGCTTGTAGCTTACTGAGCATTTATGACATTGCTGCTATTCTTGTTATTTGCACTGTGCTGAGTACTATCTTACTCTACATTTTCTCATACTGGTGTAACTTTTACTGAGGAAAACTGTTAGAGAAATATAAAACCATTAATGTGTCATCACTCAATAGTTTAAGCTTTTTGGTTGAATTGGTTCTTTGCATGGTATCAGAGCCTCTGTGACCAAGTGATCACGAGTTCGATCCTCACCGCCCTCATTTAGTTAATAAATAATTACCTATTGTGGAATTTCTTAGCACAGGTAGGTTGGGTCTGATGCATCATCCACCCTTCAAGACCAATGAGCTATTGTGTGAGAGAGCGTGTTAGAGAAATATAAAACCATTAATGTAGCCTCACCCAATAGCTTAAGCTTTTTGGTTGAATTTGTTCTTTACAAAATCTATACTTATTCATCCGGCAAATCAAAGATATGTTGGTATTATTCCATATACCCAGTTAGGAGTGTCACACTGTACCTGTCTTAGTTTGAGGAATGTTGACACAGATCTCATTTCTTTTTTACTACAGGATATCGACTATAGATTCCAAAGATACTGATCCATCAGTTTTAGTGAATGGGCATTATGATAGTACTCTTGGTTCCCCTGGAGCTGGGGATTGTGGTTCGTGTGTTGGTGGGTAGTGGCTATATTGAAGTCTTCTTTGAATTTGAAAGATTATATTTGGCAAATCTACACCTTGAGCATACTAAATCTTATTGTTTATCTAATTTTCCTCCCTTTTCAGCATCAATGCTTGAAATTGCAAGACTAATTGTGGACTCTGGTTGGGCTCCCTACCGCCCTATTATTTTCCTTTTTAATGGTGCTGAGGAGCTTTTCATGTTGGTAGGATGTCTTGTTCGATGAATGTTTCGAGCTACAATTACATTTGACCGTCATTCATTTATGTTTTGAGATTTTTTTAATGATATGTTGATTTTGTCTTGTGCTTTAGAGATGTGGAACCTTGTATGTAATATTTAGGAGTTACATGCTAATGACTTTTTAACATGACCTCAAACTATAGCCTCAGCCTATAAAGTGATGATATTGTGATCAGTTAACTATGTATCTAATCTTTGCTAATTGGATAATTTAAAATGTTTCAGAAAATTATTTTGGCTGCTGAACGGAAACTGATTTGTGTATCAAAGATGTTTTATTGAAGGTTGCACATCTTCTATAATTATCTCAGATTATTTTTTATTTGGTTTACATCTGATTCGCTTCCAAATGATTGTGTTTAAATTAAATAGTAAAGCTCATGTATTCCTCTCCAACCCTCTGTGCCTTTTTTCCATTCACTTTAAAGAACACACCACACCAGCACTCCTATCATGACAGTATTTTCTGTAGATGATGAATGCTTATTTATAATTGGATTCTACATTGTTAAACTAATGAGGTGTTATTTACTTTTGATGCTTAAGGGTGCACATGGGTTCATGAAGACACATGAATGGCGTGACACAATAGGAGCTGTTATAAATGTGGAGGCATCTGGGACTGGAGGGCCTGGTAAATATGATGCAAAATTTCTGTTATGATTAGTAGGATAATAAGCTACATCTTCAACTTCTCTGTCCATGAACTTATGATTTATGTGCTATGTAGGACATCTTCATTGAATAATGTTGTTAAAATTAACAGATTTAGTTTGCCAATCTGGACCTAGTGCTTGGCCTTCTAATGTTTATGCGGAAGCAGCAATATACCCTATGGCTAATAGTGCAGCTCAGGTTATCTTTCTCTTCTAACCGTCCTATATCTATTTAATACTCAATTGTTCTGTTGAGCAATTGTTTTCCTCTTTTGTATTTACCAATTCAAGCATGAATTTTCTATTTTAACATGCAGGATGTTTTTCCTGTTATTCCTGGAGACACTGATTACCGAATATTTTCCCAAGACTATGGGAATATTCCTGGGCTTGACATCATCTTCCTCCTTGGTGGTTATTTTTACCATACCTCCTCTGATACAGTAGATAGAATATTGTATGTATCTTACCTACTTTTTTTGGTACAGATATTTAATTGAAATTTTATATTTTTTTCCCTCAAGCATGTATTTGATGTATTACTATGTGTCCAGACCTGGAAGCATGCAAGCACGCGGAGAGAATTTGTTCAGCATAATCAAGACTTTTACTAATTCTTCTAAGCTACAAAACACCTATCAAACAAATTTTAGTGAAGTTACTGCTAGCATATTTAAGGATGAGCGTGCTGTTTTCTTTGATTATTTCTCATGGTTTATGGTATGCAGTAAAGTTTGTAGATTCCAGCATTTGCTTATGAAGTGCTGATACTCCCAGCAATATGATCTCAGAATTGGTACTTCTTGCTCTATTATTCTCTCATATCTATGTTTTGGTTTTCAGATATTTTATTCCAGAAGAGTAGCTCAAATTCTTCACAGTATTCCTATCTTCGTCTTCCTTGTTATGTACTTTATGCATGTCAGGCGTTCTTGGTCAGCAACTCTGTGTGATTTTATGAAAGGTAAATCGATAGATTTTTACTGCTGGTTACTTCTTTATATGATGTATTCTAATTGGTCTCTTTGTTGATTGCTTAAAAGTTTTTTATATCTATTCTAGAATTTAAATGATTAAATGTTGACACTTTGAATAACATTTTGAAATTTGTTGGATTTGCAGGATTTCTATTCCATGCAGTTGGGATTATATTGGCAATTGTTGTGCCAATTGTGTTTTCTTTGCTGAGATTACTGTTCTCTTCTCAGACAATGAATTGGTAGGTTCATTTGAAGCGATTTTAACTTTAAATGAGACGGGGGATAACTTGTGCAACTTTTGACCTCTTGTAGTTAATGCTAGAATTTTACTTTGTTAGTGAAATTATATAGTGGAGGGCGAGCTTTGATATAGTGGTAAGGTTGTTCCTTGTGATTAGAAAGTCACAGGTTTGAGTTTGGAAACAGCCTCTTTGTAAAAAATGTAAAGGTAATACTGCGTACAATCGACCCTCACCCCATCCTCGCAAGTCAAGGAGTCTTGTGCACTAGGATTTACCCTTTAATCAAATTATATAGTGGGAGAACAAGCGACTCCATCTTGTTTATGATAGAGCTGCTCCAAGCATTTGATTATAGCCACATTGAATCTAAATTATTTGGAGTACTTTATTATTTCCAATCGTTTATACATGGTTAGTAGAGTATGAATCACTATCTAAGGTGTACTAATATAAATACGTTCATGCATTTCATGTGTTAATGTGTTAATATAATGGATGAAACACAGGTTTGCTCATCCTTACTTGGCTTTCATGATGTTTATACCCTGCTCACTTGTTGGTCTTTTAATTCCAAGAATTATGTGGAGAAGCTTTCCTCTTTCTCAGGATGTATCAATTGCCAAGACATCAAAAGAGGTATTCCAGCTTACTGAAATAAGTCTACTGTGATAAAAGTTTCATAATTTATTTAATAAAACTATTTTGTAATAAAACTGTAAACTGTGTAGTAGACTTTGTTTTGTTCTACTCATGCCCTTTATTGTTGCAATTTTCCTGTTTTTCCTTAGGGATTAATGTCAATACACAAAGAGAAATTGGCTAAACAATCAAATTGGGATAGGTAAAAGAAAAACCCTTGGTTCTCAAAATAGGATAATCAATATTCGGAAATTCAACAACCTTCAATAGTAGTCCTAAACACCCTTTTATAAGATGTCAAATAACCCTAAAACGTAAATAAAATATGGCTAAAAAGGAAATGTTTAAATATAACAATTCAATCAGCATTAAACACATATAAAATAAGGAAACAATTAAAATAAAACCAACCTAATAATTAAAAGATTACGAAAAAGAACCCAAATCATATTTCAAATCTCTGTCTTCTAAGTGCATCAGGGATGCCAAAGTCATTTGTATTTATCTTTTTTAATGAGCCTAACGAAAGTGACATATTCAATAATTAAAGCATATCAATGCTTCCAGAAAAGTGATGTAGTAGATGGGTTTGAGTAGTCAAATCCCCCATAATCAACGTTCTGAACATTTATATATCTTCAAGAACTTTTTACCTGAATAACTACAAATGTGTTTAAAATTGGTTGTTTCTTTTCAATATCAAAAATAAATATGGGCTAGTCATCTATTTTATCCTTTGGGTCTCAGGCTTTCCTCAGCAAGTCTTAAGTTGCTTTTTTAATAGTGTCAGTTTTGTATCATTGTTCTGTTATCGAATGAAATATATTCGCCATCCAAGTTCCAATGAACAGTGTCTTCAGAATTGGCATATATACTCTGGCTTGTGCTAACTTTGTTTATGGTCATTATAAATATTATTTTGTGGGGTCTTCTGCATTTGGCCATATTCTTGATAAGTAATTTCAGTTTGTCTTGGTGATGCAAGTCCAAGGTACCTAACGTTTGATTTGACACATAAATTGCAGGCACTATCTGATGAAGCAAGGTTCTGGGGAGCATTTGGGTTCTATGCCGTATTAACTTTGGTGTGTAGATTGAATATATAGTCAAACAATTTAATCTTTGCAGCATGATATAATGTATTCTCTTTAATTTTTGTATGGCTAAACAAGTTTAGTAAAAGCAGGCTTATCTTGTAGCTGGGTTGAGTGGAGGTTTCCTGACATTTTTTGTGTCTGCTTCCATGCTTCCTGCATGGATATCGTTCTGCTTATCAGTCAAATCCTTTGGACGACACTCACTCAGGTTGATTGTGAATGCTTATGTAATTTGTAACTACTGTGTTTGCTTTTTCTGCACATATAAACTCCAATGTCGCTTCATGTTTGGTCTTACAAGTATCCTTTATCTCCCTTCACATTACAATAGATTTGACTTGCATCTCTGCTGCATTTATATGAATGCTATTTATCTGATCTTATTTCTTTTTATATCTGTTATTCATATTTGGCAATAATCTTTTTCTTTCACTTCATTTTTTTCCCTCTACAGGTCAACAATGTTTTACATATTACCTCTAGTTCCATGCCTTGCATATGCTGTTTATTTTGGTGGCTTTCTTGCCCAGTTTCTTATAGAGAAGATGGGCATGATGGGTTCTCTTCCTCTACCATATGGTTAGTTTTTTCTTTATGAATAAAGTATTTATATGACCCTAGTAATTAAAATAATGTAGAATAGATAGCCCTTCTTGAGGCCTGGGATGATAATTAGACCATTGTGATTGAATCACCAGTCTTCATGCTCCGTCATTTCTGTATGTATAAATACATTTATCAGTATGATTAAAATCAAATGAAATGTATATATGGGATTACTTGCTTGAGGTGTCCTTTATTGTAACTCATCACTTAGAAATTATCTAGATAAATCTGTTATATAAAATAGTTAGCAATTTCACATGTCAAAATGCTTGCTGCTGAACATAATTTATTGCAGGGCACTATGTTCCTGATGCTATTGTGGCAGCATTAATTGGAATTGTAACTGGTTGGTGCATGGGTCCTCTAATGCCCATTTGCAGTCATTGGTTAGCCAGGTCATCAATCTTGCAATTTTTGCTGCAACTTAGTGTGTTTGCTTTGGCGTTATCATCTCAGTTCTTTCCTTACACCATGTCTGCACCTAAGAGGGTTGTTTTTCAGCATACTTTCCATACTGCAGGTATTGACACCCAGTAATGTTATGTGAAATGACAGTTTGGTGGGCTATTATACTTTTGTTGATGCCCTCTAAAACAACGAGGTGTTAATCTAGTGTCTATAATGTGCTTATATTAGTTTATCTATTAGTTTTCCTTTCCATTATCATTTTAGTACTCAAGTGTCTTTTTTATTTTCTCTTTTTTAAGTAATTTCTAACAATTTTCCTGTGGTTTGGCAGGCTCAAGTCAGATTGTGGAATCTACTTATGATTTGTCTGTAACTGATTCCAATTCTTTAATTTTCCTTTTCAAATACTCACCTGAAGTGGCAAAGGAGTTGAATGTTTCTCCGGAGTTTTCCTTTGAATCTGCATCCCTATCTAAACGCCAAGATTGGATGGTAAGAGTGAAAGCGGTTTTTAATTCTCACTTTCAATTGAAAATGGAAAGAGTGAAAGAAGAATATTAAAGTCGTTTATTTTAACACTTAACTGATTGTCCTTTGATTAATGAAGTTGGAGGTTAAGTCAGACTATTCCTTCATTAGTTGTGAAGTCTTGAATTGGTCCCAGGTGCTGAAATTGCAGATGTTAGCTTTTAAGAATACGTCAGCATATATTAAAACTACCATTTCCTCTCATTCTTTGCATTTTAACAAACATTTGATGGCTTAGATTACTAATAGAATTCTTAAAATCTCTCTTCACTACCTTGTTGATTAGTCCAGTAGCTGTCATTTGAACCTTCACTTGTTTAAATTACTGGGATAAACTACTTTTACAGCTATACTGTTGTTATCATATATTTTCCTTGGTACACAAAAAACTGCTATTTTTTTATTTAGTAATGGTTTTATATTCCCAGGCTTGTGAATTTAAGAAATTAATGTGAATGCATTTCTCTTTGCAGGCAATTTTTCCAGTTTCTTTTCTGTTTTCAAATAGTCTGAAGTTCCCTGTAAAAGGGGATGATATTTTGAAGCAGTACGAATTCTTTCCCAAATTGTCTGTCCAAAGTCCATATTTAGATTTCGAAAAGGGACCGAGGAGAGTTCACTTGGAGCTTTATTTAGGGTGAGTGTATCAGCATAGTTAATCAACATAGTCAAACATACAATTTATGTTCTATGTGGTAGCCTAGCGTGGAAAGCTTGGTTATTCTAATTGTCTAGTTGCATACGAAATTTTTTCATGTTAGTGTCGTGCAATAGTAGTCAATGCCTGAGAATTGTTTCAAGGGATTAGTGGTCTCATTTTTTTCAAGTTGGTTGATTCTTTTATGTACTGGTGCTTGTCTCCTCAGGATGTACTAACAGGGAAATATGCTGTGATATACTGACATTTGAATTCCATAAAGTATTTTGTGATTATTGCAATCATTATGTGACTTTGTATATATATAAAAAAAAATCTTTTGTCTGATTGTTTTTTTGGCTGCAACTTGTTTTGCATAGTCTTAAATCTGTTCTCTATACCACCTTGTGTGAACGGGAAGAAGTTGAAGGAAAGTTTAATATTACAGTACCTAAATTTTTACCTTCTTGTTTTCATGTATAAGTATTTATCTTGCTTTCAGTTCCTTAGAAGAAGTCTGGGTTGCAGTTCTTAACATCACTGGTCCTTTATCCAGTTGGTCATTTGCAGATAATATGCTACCAGGTATGAGAGTTGTTTCCTCCACTTAGTTTTTCTTTAGGGTTGATAATATTATTTCATTGCCTAATGTAGCTTGCAATATGCACAGGAACTGAAACTTATGGTGGTGGTCCAGAATCATATATATGTCGTCTTAGTGGACCCAGTGATGGGAATTGGACCTTCTGGTTAGAGGTAAAATTTGAGGCTGTATTAACTTTCCTTTACTATGTCAAAAACCATAGCTGAACTTTTATTTTGTTTGATAATATCAGGCTAACAGCTCTGAAGCATTAAGAGTGGACCTCGCCGTTTTAGACCAAAAGTTGGTTGATCCAGCAAAGAGAATGAAGGATCTTTTCCCGGACTGGGTTGATGTCATTGCCTATTCTAGTTTTATGTCCAGCTATATCTTTTAATTCTTAATAAGCAAGCCTTGTAATTGTAAGGTCATCTCACTTGTTTGGAAATCAAATTTGTATAGGATAACCTCAGGAATTGATACAATAATACCACAAATAATTTGACAGTTTTTGGGGGAAATACTGGTGTGTGAGAACAATTTTGTTCTCTGACTTGCTTTTGGGGAATATATATATATATATATATATATATATATATATAAAATAGTTTTGAAAAGTTTTTCACCCAAAACTTGAAGATATTTGTTGGTGTAATTAGATTGCTCAATAAGATTTTTAAAATCCATTGGAGAGATTTGTTCATTTTCATCTTTTAATTTAAAAGGTGAAGCAAGAACAGACCTACTTTTGTTATCACAAACTTTTGGGAGATAGAAAGAAGTTGTGGGAGGAAATTCAGACTTGATAATCTCTCCTTCTTTCAGGTGCCAATCAGTGATGACATTAGCAGATTGAGGAGTCTTGAATGGATAATCAATGTCCTGTTGGACAGAATAAACTTGAAACCAATCAAAGAAAGGAATATTTAACTCTACCTTGTCAAGAAAGTTGATTGTTTTGGAATCAACTTAGCAGAAGACTGTTGAAGAAAACCACTGTAGTGACGCTGATGGCAAAATGACATGAGCATGATGTCAGCATAAGGTGACGCATACAGTGACGTAATCAAAGTGTCGGCAGAAACTGTAGCATCACGAGTCAGTTACTGTTCACTTAACCTACACTGTTTTCAATCTGCTCTTTCAAGGAGATCTTTCTCTACAATCTCTGAACCTAGTAGGTTCAATCTCCATCTCCAAGGTTTGGACACTTCTTCTTCTATTCCTAAACCTTCATATACCCAAAAAGAAGAAGAAAATGAACAAAGTATCATCCAATCCCCAAAATCTATTCAATCTCCAACCTATTCCTCTATGCATAATTCTTATGATGTTATATAAGTTCATTATAGATAAGGAAACCCTTAGGAAAGACTTTAATTCTGAGGAACGGTCTCCTCAAAAAGAATGGTTCTTCCAAAATTATAAGGGAATTAAAAGACAACTAATTCAAGAAGAATTTTATAACTTTCTTGACAAGGTAGAGTTAAATATTCCTTTCTTTGATTGGTTTCAAGCTTATTCTGTCCAACAGGACATTGATTATCCATTCAAGACTCCTCAATCTGCTAATGTCATCACTGATTGGCACCAGAAAGAAGGAGAGATTATCAAGTCTGAATTTCCTCCCACAACTTCTTTCTATCTCCCTATATATATATATATATATATATATATATATATATATATATATATATATATATATATCCGGAGTTGAAGAAGCTGAAAGAACTTAATTCTTTTTCCCTCTTTAATTTTTGTTTCTGGCCTACTGGTTCATTTTCAGAAACAAAAACATAAATTGATTTTATTAAACGTAATTTGTAATCAATTCTGTTCCCTAGGTTAAAAATAGACCAAAAAAAAAATCCCCATATGTTATCATACACACTTTATATCTCTGAAAAATAAAAATCAGGCCTTTAAGGAAAATTATAGTCCTGTTTGAATACTGTTTCTAAAAACAGTTTTTTGGTTTTTAGAACAAAAAAAAAAAAAAAAAACTCACTTGATAAGTCTTGTTTTGTAAAAAATATATATTAAAATTGTAACTCTTTTTCTATTTTTGTTTTTAGAGTTGTTTTTGTTTTGTGTTTTGACTTTTAACTTTAAAAACAAAAACAAAAAACAAAAAAAGCACATATTTCCGTAACTATTCTACAAAATAATTTTAAGAACAAAAAAAAATCAAAACACAATCAAACAAACTCATATCTCTTTAATTTTCTTTTCTATCTCATTTAATTTTAAGTTTCCAAGCAATAGAATTTAAGGAAAAGTTCACCAATACCCTTAGGATCACTTATGTCCCTGTGGGTTTTTTTATCACGTATGCCTCCATGGTTTGCAAAATAATATGTTTTTTATAACATATACCCCTGTGGTTTTTTATTTTTTTACAAAGCACAAGGGTATATGTGATAAAAAAATCACAAGAACATAGATAGTTCTGAAGCAAACCACATGGGCTGGGCATTGATGAACTTTTCCCTACAATTTATTACCGTTCTCTATATTAGCTTTTCATTTTATTTCTTAATATTGGGCACCAAAACATTGTGTAAGGATATAAAGCCCGTTTAAATTTTGTTTTTCAAAAATAAAACTACTTCTCACTCTTTTTTTTGTTTTTTTAATTTCTTCATCGGTTCATAGATTAATTAACTAATTTGGTAGTTAGGTAGGACCATATAGGCGTCAAAACTCTCCCTAAGTATCCATAACTCAAACTCGAGACCACTAGATAAGTTGAAATCTCTTATTAGTTGATCCACGTGCTTGGTGATAAGATACTTCTTACTTAAAAAAATATTTAGATGTGAAACACCCGGCCACTTGCAAGATCAATGATTGTCCCCATAAATCAACACAAGACTTTTCAACTTGCTTTGTCCTCATTCACACATTTCCTATGAAACTTCTCAGGAGGTCACTTATCTCAGACTTGCTCCAAAGTTAAACACGCTTAACCATAGAATTCTTAAGTTATGAACTACTGAAAAGTAGATGCATCTTGTTAGTATATGTAGTAACTGTTAATTCCTTTAAGTTATCCTAAATTATACAGTTTCATACATGCACAACCTCTAGATCTTTCTCGTTCAGGTATTGATTCGAGTCATTCATGTACACCTCTAGCTGTAAGCTTGACAGGAGGCGCTCCTTATTCATGCCTCATCTCTTTTGCATCGGCGATCACTTCCCACCTTCGTCAGCTCCCGGGATGTTACATGCCCACCAACTTTCGCTTGGTTTGTCCTCGAACCACACCGTATTGGGAAAGAGGCCATGCTCTGATACCGCTTGTAATGCCTGGCCACTTGCATGATCAACGAACGATTGTCCCCACAACCAACACAAGACTTTTCAGCGTACCACTTGTAATGCCCGGTCACTTGCAGGATCAACGATTGTCCCCACAAACCAAAACAAGACTTTTCAGCGTACCACTTGTAATGCCCGATCACTTGCAGGATCAATAACTGTACCCACAAACTAAAATAAGATTTTTCAGCGTGCTTTGTCCTTACTCACACACTTTGTGAAAAACTTCCCGAGAGGTCACCCATCCTAAAATTACTCCAAAAGTCAAGCACGCTTAACTATAGAGTTCTTAAGTTATAGGCTGCCAAAAAGTATATGCATTTTGTTAGTACAGATAATACTTAATAATTCTTTTAAGCTATCTTCAATTGTACAATCCCATACCTACACAGCCTCTGGATCCCTCTCATTTAGGTATTGATTTGATTCATTCATGTATCCCTCCAACTGGAAGCCTGATAGGAACCGTTCTTTGTCTGTGCCTCATCTCTTTTGCACCGGCGATCACTCTCGCCCTCGTTGCTCATGGGATATTACAAGATGCCACATTGCCACCTTTATAAAATGGCAAAAAAAGTCAAAATTATATATATATATATATATATATATATATATATATATATATATATATAATGATACACTTACCACAAAAAAGTTTACAACCTTTACAACCAACCTAATCACCGATGATTTCCGTCAATATAACGATTATCATTTATTAAAAATTATTGGGTCGCATATATTAATTAATTGTTAATTCCAATAAATGATAATCGTTAGATTAACAGAAATCAACAGTGATTAAATTAGTTGTAAAGGTGATAAACTTTTTTGGTTGTAAGTATATCTTGTCGCTATATATATAGGGTCAAGATCATTTTATACCGGTGTAAATTACACTCTCAATCTTGAACATTGATCCCACTTATATCTAAGGGCTCTAATTTTTTAGTAATGTGAGCCATTGGATATAAGTGGATCAATGATCAAGATTAAATGTAAGACTTCTAACTCTTATACTAGTGTAAGAATATCTTGCCCCATATATATATATATATATATATATATATATATATATATATATATATATATATGAGGTAGGATCCTTTGACACCGGTGTCAAATTTGAAATTTGACACCTCACTTGAGAGCCATTAGATCAAAAAAGATCAACGACTCTGATTTGTAAGCATGTGACACCATTGATCTTTTTTTATCTAACGGCTCTCAGATGAGGTGTCAAATTTCAAATTTGACACCGGTGTCAAAGGATCCTGCCTCTCTATATATATATATATATATATATATATATATATATATATATATATATAAGGTAAGATCTTTTGACACTAATGTCAAATTTCAAATTTCAAATTTGACACCTCATATGAGAGCCGTTAGATCAAAAAAGATCAATGGTGTCATATGCTTACAAATCAGAGCCATTAATCTTTTTGTATCCAATGACTCTCAGATGAGGTGTCAAACTTCAATTTGACACCGGTGTCAACGGATCCTGTCTATATATATATATATATATATATATATATATATATATATATATAAGTGAAATATTTTACTTTTAAAAAAAAGAAGAAGTTAAATGTTAAATATTTTTCTCAAAATTTAAATTAGTCTTTACCCTAACCTTAACGAGGGCACTACTTTCACTTCCATTACTACTATTGCCATCATTATACGTAAAAAAAAAAAACATATTTTCATTTATTACAGGGCAGAGAATTAATAATTTCATACTATATTCACATCTCAATTAAAAATTGTTTATTCTTTACTTACTTAGTAGGATCAAGCATTGTCTATTAAAAGTTTAAGTTAAAATATTCATTAGTAAGTTAGTTGTAGAATACTAAAGTTAGTTGTAGAATAATACTATTACAAACCCTAGAATAATACGATTAACCAACGACAGACACCGATTAAAATTTTGATCTTTTTTCTCCATGCATCGCACGAGTACTGCAATATATAAAGCAGATTATTCTTAAATCAGTGTAAAAATAAAAAATCTTATACTAAATTTTAGTCATTGATTTGTTTTCATCAAACAGCTCACATATCTAATAAATCACAATTATTATATATAAATAAGATTAATGATCAAAATTAATAATATAACTTATATTGATATAAAATGATCATGAACTTATAGACAACCCTTGTCTCTTGAATCTTCTTGTAGTAGTCACATTTAAACTGGAAAGGTAGACATTTGAACATAAGATCAGCAAGCGTGGTAAAAGCTTTAATCAAGTAACCAGTAACTTTCTTGAGTTGTTATCTAACCTGAATTTTATAACATTGGTAAAATGGAATACGAATGAATTTAAAAATTAGTTTTTGATAGAACTCAATAACATATTTTGATTCGGCCAACACATAAACACATCATTAAAAAATAGTTTTAAATTCATATAGAATATTAAAAAATATTTCAAGCCAATTTTTCAAATTACAAAAAATATTTTGAATTAATTCAAATAAATATAAAAGTATAAATTAAAAATATTTAAAATTATGAATAACCTATGCATTCTTAATTAAAGGAATTTGAATTTAATATTTAAAATAATATAAATGAAATACATAATAATTTATACAAAAATACATTAATAAATTTATTTTAATATTTAAGAGTAAATTTCAGCCGTTAACAATTTTAATTTGGATTTGGTTCGTAACAAAAGAGAATATATAATACTTTTTCATGGCTACTTCTATTGGTCATGCATAAAAAAAGGCCCGTGGGCCGGTTTACAAGTTGCGCACCTTACAATAGCCCAATGCCATGAGAGTTAGGGTTTTAAAACCCTAAATATAGCCTTATTCATTCCTTCAACCGTTGTTGCCGAGAGCCATCTATAGTTACTGTGAAGGTACCTGAGTAAGCCATCATGGTACGATTCTGCTTCTACTCTCTATAATTTGTTATTGCGATGATCTCGTATTAGATCTCTGGAGTGTTTTCATATTTATCCTTTTTCTGATTCTTAGGTGAAGTACTCAAGAGAGCCTGACAATCCTACCAAGTGTAAGTTCTATTTTACTTTTATAACTTGTGTAATGGTTTGGTTTTCTCGCTTTTGGAATAGATGCGATTTGTTCTGTGTTTTTCGTAAATTCGATGTTTATATTTTTCGTCACTACTTTTGAGCTTTCAGTTTGATTTATTTTTATTTTTTTTTCATTTGCAGCCTGCAAGGCTAGAGGCGCTGACCTTAGAGTTCACTTCAAGGTACCGAGTTTTGTTATTTTGGTTATTCTCTGTTTATTTTTATTTTATTTATTTTAGAATTTAAAGAATAAGTTTCATATGCGCTTGTATAACGATATAACGAATAACGATGCCATCAAGAGATCAATGTGTCAACTGCCGTCAATTTGTCTTCTTGACTCAGCTATGATTTGGTTGATTAATATAAATAAACATGGATTTACGCTGATTAATCATGCTGAAAAAAGCTGGGGCCTGTTTATCCTGTGTGAGCATGTCTCTTGTAAAACTTCAGGGACAACATGGCCATTGTTGTTGGATGAAGCTCTGTCTTTTAACTGACTAAAGGTTCAGTAAATGATGGAACATGTTGCACTTTTGTTGCACCATGCATTTTTTATTCATGTAGTGCTTATTTGTGTTGCCATTTTCTTGTTCTCTATTAGTTGATTATATCATGTCCTGCTATTGGGTCTAAGGGAAATGTGATTTGATTGTCGATTTCATCATTTTAGTTGCCCCTGACTCACATTAAATACAAAATATGTTTTTGATGAAGTTGTGGTTTTATTTCACACTAGTTTTCTTTATTTAGGATCATATATGGAAAACTTTGGTAATCGAATGGAGTCTGATAAAACCTGATGAAAAAAGCAGGGGCCTCTTGCCTGTGTGAATGGGCCTCTCGTTACCTTCAGGGATATAATAACCTCTGTTATTGGGTGAACCTCTGTTCCTTGTTTGTGACTGAAGGTTCAGTAAACGATGGAACATGTAGTGCTTTTGCAGCATGATAAATTTGATTCATATTGAACTTGTTTTTGTTGCCTTGTTTTTAATCTTTATTATTTACTTAGTATCTGAGATAATATGTTTTCTGCACTTTTTAACGGCGAAACTATCTGGTTAAGTTCCTCATGAAATGATATAGTTGCTCCTGATTGACCTCATTACTTTAAAATATGTGAAGTTGATTGAGTTCATGTATTGCTATTTGCATTTATTTTCCTCAGTTATGATATAGACAGAACTCCGTTATTATAAGAAATGGAGTCAGAGAAAACATGATTTGAAAAGCAGGGTCTGTTGCCTGTGTGAGCAAGCCTCTTGATACCTTCAGGGATACTATAACTATTGTTATTGCGTGAGCCTATTTTCCTTGTTTGTTACCGAAGGTCCGGTAAATGACCTTTCAGGTTGTATGCATGCTAGAATCATTATTAACTTTGATTTATTGTCATGGTATTTTTTGTTGTTGTTGAGGATATTATAATAATCATCATCTGGCATAGTGGCTATAGTAGATTTCATTAATAAGTAAGAAACTATATTGCAAAGGCAATGCCTTGTTCTTTTTCTTTTTTGATTTAAAACTTTGTAGAACAGCTATAATTTTTACCCACAATGGGCAGTATCTGATGTCTTTCTGGGCACAGCTCCCTTGTAATTATCAGCGACATGGGCATTATTATTATTGGCCGAGTATATTTCTCTTTTGTTAATGAAGTTTTATTAATGATAGTGTAATACAAGTATTACACCTAATTTGTTCAATTTATTTATATTATTTTCCTACCCTTGAGACTTTGGCCTTTAAATTGCACTTACAGAACACTAGGGAAACTGCCCATGCCATTAGGAAGTTGCCCTTGGCAAAGGCTAAAAGGTACTTGGAGGATGTTCTCGCTCACAAACAGGCCATTCCATTCAGACGTTTCTGCAGGGGTGTTGGGAGGACAGCCCAGGCAAAAAATAGACACTCTAATGGACAGGGAAGGTGGCCTGTCAAATCAGCTAAATTCATCTTAGATTTACTCAAGAATGCTGAGAGTAATGCTGAAGTATGCTCTATATCATCATTTGCTTTGCTATATGACCGTTTTATGTCAACTGTCTCGAAACTAAATTGGTAATTACTTCCTTTCAGGTTAAAGGTTTGGATGTTGATGCTCTTTTTGTTTCACATGTCCAAGTCAATCAAGCACAGAAGCAAAGACGCAGAACATACCGAGCCCATGGAAGAATCAACCGTATGTTTGTAATCTTGAGTTTTTTTTTTTTACTTATTTAGTGGATTGTTTATTTGTTACATGGTTTTATTGATGGAGACTGTTTTGGCAGCCTACATGTCATCTCCCTGCCACATAGAGTTGATATTATCTGAAAAGGAAGAGCCTGTCAAGAAGGAGGTATTTGATTCATCTGGTGGTGGTTTTTCATTTCCTTTTTTCTTCATTGATTATCTAATGCTTATTTTTTGTTGTTCTTGTAGCCCGAGACCCAGTTGGCAACAAGCAAGAAGAAGTCCCAAGCTCTTCGAAGCGGTGCTTCATCTTAAATTGCAATTTAACTAAATTGTTTCAGGCCCAATATTTCTATTTTGTGTCACGAGGAGAGTTTTGTTGCTTGTTTTATTTTGCTTTTAGTATTTGGTATGAGTTAATGCTATAAGAGGCATGAACACCAGGTTTTGTTTCGTACTGTTCCAAATTAATTTGACCTAATTTGAAAACTTATGCTCTTTACGATTTGCGGTTTTGTTTGTCTTACTTTATGTATGGTTTTAATATCATTTCTCCTTTGTAAACAACCGAATAAAAAAAGTAAGGGTAATTTTTTAAACGAGCAAAATGTGTTAAGTGATAGTTCGATGTAATTATGCCTTTAGAAGGATAAAATTAAAGGTTTTTATATGATTTTTTTAATAAAATACTTTTTGATGAGGTGTACGATGTCTAAGAAATTAGATAATAGTCTTCTATTATTATTTAATTGTTGTTACTAATATTTACTAGGGTTAAAGGATGTGGTACCATGTATAAACACTCATTGAGAGGTTATGGGGCAGCCGGTGTTAATCTTGATGGATGGTGTGATATATAAGGTCTGATAATATAAGTTTGTATTATATATTAAGATCATCATATATCTCTTATATCATCATACAATTTAATCAGGCTTAGGAGGATAGGATTAAGCCTGATAAGAGGTTAATATATTAATTAATGCAATTCTCAAGAATTAATATATTATTTAACTGTTACCATATTAAAATAATAATTTTAAAAATATTGAAGATTTTTATTTTTATAAAAATTAATATATTTTTTGGACACAATGATTCACATATTTTTATAAAAAAATAATATCATCTAATATATTCGGAAGAATTATGTAAATTCATTATTAAAAGGTCTTTTTGACAAAAATATTTATTTTTAACCTATATAGTATTATACAGTGTATTATTAAACATTGAATGATATTATCTTATATGGCTTGGGGAGGGATTTTTTATTGTTTAATTGTAGAATTTAATTCAAAAACAAATTATCTACTCCATCCAATATTATGCTAAACGCAGGATAATATTAAAATTTACAATTATATTTTATATTATCAGTTCTTATACTATCAAGTCTTATCTCATACTATGTACCAAACATACCCTGTGAATCACCAAATTTCGTTGAGTTGGTCATGGTTGAGATCTCGCATATCCATTTACTGTCTTTACCAATAAAATGTAACTAGTATGTTTACCAAAAATTAAAAAATAAATAAATGTAACTAGTACGGCTACAATTCGTCAAAGTTTCGAATGAAAACAAAATGATCGAAGCACAATAAGATTGTAGCATGTTGATAATATGGTAGCACGATAAAATTCAATTTATATTTTCCAAGCGTAAGAAAATTGTGGCATTTTGATAATATAATATTGATTAAAACCCAAGGGCCGTTTGATTTAGGAATTTTTTTTTGGAATAGTAGGGAAATGAGATAGATAGAGAAATGATTGGAAAGATAGATAAAGTGAGATAGGTAGAAAAAAGTAAAAAAAAGTTGTTTGGTGGGGAAAAACTTTACTGGGAAAATTAGGTAACTTTATGAAATAAACGGTGCATTAAAAGCCAGATAACCGGTTTTCCGAAAAATCTCACCTTCAAATTGAGTTTATAAACAGTTCGGATATCTATGTTTCTCATAAATCCAGACAAATTGGGTAGATGGGTTTTTGGTGATGGTATTTTTAAAAGCCATATTTGAGAAAGATAGATATCCGCTGAAAAGCTCCCAACCAAACACCGGATAAAGAAAATTGCTTGTGATTAATACACCAGCAGCGCAACGATAATCTTGCCCCAGCAGCACCTCATCTCTACAGGCATGCAAGAGAATCAACTAAAACGCAAAGTAGTTTCACCGAAAAATAGAGTTAGATCCAGAAGTGATTGATGCAGAAAGATGCTAAAAAATCATAGGATGATGTGCAATTTCAAAATAAAACAGCAAAGCATTCGTTCACAAGAAAGGGATATAAATCTAGAGATTCCAAAATGCAATCAATCAGTGCTATGAATTTTGAAATTGAAGTGCAATAACATCACGCGCAACAACACTACAGACAGGCTCGTGAAATCAAGACTCAAATGATAATCCTCAAGAGCCACCCAACAACCAATATTATTATCACTCATCTTGCAACAAAGTTTTACAAAATAGGACTTATCCGAAACAGATCATAAGCAATCAACTTAGCACCACACCTAAAACTAAAGAGCTCACTGCATTTGGTGTCTTAAGAATTTCAACGTTCTTCGATAAAACACCAAAAATAATTGGAATTTTGAACTTCAAATTTTCGCTCTACATAACTAAAAAGCATTAGGTATAGCTTCAAATGGGAATCGAACAATAACAACACCTTAACAGGATGTTATGCAGGAAATGACTTCACTTTATATGGGAGAAACACATGAATCTAAGCACCTTTTCTGAAAAATATGAAAAGGTGCAAATTGATTACTCAAGACTTAAAACGACCCAGAAACATGAAAACAAGAGTCAACAGCAGCATGTGCATACTTAAGTGAATTTACCTAGTTCCTATCTTGACTTTCATAGTAGTTTTCCGGGAGAAAGTAACAATTTTATACAGTTCCTCCTTTGACAGAGCAATTTAGTTTGTCATAGTTATAAGGTTCGACAGATTATATCCCCTATCAATTAATCAATGGCTCAATATCTGGTACCAACAGTTCAATCATCCTTTCGATTAGTTTCATAATTCTACTGTTCTAATAGTCATCATACTCCGTCAAATTTGGTAGTGGCGGAATCAGACTGTGTTTGAAGCAGCAAATCCATCTGCAATAACCACTAAGCTATCAAAGCTCCTAGTTGGATTGCTGTGGCGAAATTGCTGTTTGAATAATGATTTTTGTTATGCTCAGACAAGAAGGACTCTGTGATACGAGACGATAATACAACTATCACTTCGTAGAAGTTAGAACAGAATAAACGCGAGTTGCGAGCCTTTGCATCAGTACCACATCGTTAGAAAGCATGCTAGCATACATGAACCTGTGCTATATAATAAGACCCATTAGAATTGAGGTTTTCATCTTTGCGCTTGGGGCAATGACGCAGCTAGTGAGGTTCTAACCGAGGCGCGTCAATTGCTGGTTGAAAACTATTTCCAAACCCCCTCTTAGGCCTGGGTTTGGCCCAGGCCTTCGAGAATTTCTGGAAGGGCTCCCTTCGGGGTAAAGCTCTGCAATTTTAGTTCCAAATATTTACAGGGTTACTCAATTATAAAAGAAAACAAAAAAGAAAACTAAAATTATATATTTACTGTACTTTTTAGTGAAATTATGCTATGTTCCACATAATTAAATTGCTTTTTTTTTCTGGAAATTAGATTGAAATGTGATTAAATCTTATTAAATTGTGACATATCAAAGAATTTGTATTATATTATTTATCATTTTGTAGGCACTTTTATACCGTTATTGTAACATTTAGACTTTTTTTATCATATTCAATTTTTTAAATGATATAAAATATATTATTATTATAAAAAACTTTTATACTACTTATAATTTAAAATTAATTTTGGTGTAATATTTTGAGTATTTTTTTATTTTGTGAACTTTAATTCGTGTCATTGTGTTTAACTGTAATGCTGATACTTTGTGTTAAATTATTTATGAGGTTTTAGTTTGTTTTTTAATATGATCAGAATTTTTTTTTACACACAACATTTTGTGGAGTTTATATTTTTTAAAGCAAAAAAAAATTATAGCACGCAAAACGAATCTTTATAATATTACATAATCACTTTTCTTACAGGAATAAAAGAAATTAATAATACTGTTGAATGGATAGAGTGGAAGTATTATTAAAAATATTAAGTAAAATGAAAATGATAACGTCTGATATAGAATTTTTTTCATATTCTATTTATTTTAGGTTTAAAATTTATTGTTTAGAAATATATTTGTAACGTAATTAATGTAAACCAACAATTAAACTAATTTTTTAAAAATGTTAAAAAGTATTATAAAGAAAAACATTAAATAAAAGTAATAACGCAACAAAACAAAATCTTAAATTTAAATTTAGAGAAAAATATTTATTCTTTTTAAAGAATAGTTATTTGATTTTAATTAAAAATTAATATTTATTATTTATTATATATAAAAAACCTTAATAATTTTTATTTCTTTTATCATAAAATACAATAATTTAAAATAAAATAATACAATTTTATATCTTTTAAAACGTAAAACAAACACCCCTTCAATTTATTACTAAAAAGAAAAGAAACACAAAGGGGAGAGAACCTTGACGTTAAAATTCAGACATATAGTCAAACTCTACTCTGAGAGTGCCTCAGTGCGTGCAGCTTCTTCCCGATCCTGGCTTTTCTTCTGTCTTCGAATTAGGTATCTCTCTCTCTCTCTTCGTTTCCCCCTTAGAATTCACTCTCATGCTAAACCCCTTTCGCTAGATTCTATTTGAGGTTTTATTTCATTAACTATTGCGATGCTAATAAGAATTGTCTTTTTTTTTTTTTTGTCTGGTTAACCGGTGTTTATATGTATATACATATATGTATCCATTTTCCATTGTAATTTCCCGTTGGGTGTGCTTTTACAATGAGCTTTGTTGGACACTTTAATTGTCAATTAATTGTTAATTTTATAAGATTTTCTGAAACCAGAACGAAAACCCCCATTTTTTGATCCAGATCTGATCCAAGGTAGTTGTGTGAGACCTTATGTTTGACTCCAGAAATTTATCTTATTACAGAGAAACATAGATAACCCCTTGGAAGACTTCAATTTTCCGTTGTAGTTTCTTTAAGTAATGATTTCGGAAATCTAATCTAAGGTCGTAGCTTATGGTATGATATTAATTATCATGTTTCTTACATAGCTTTTGATGTTGGTTTAGATATATATATTTATTTTTTTGGATTCAAAGGGTTGCTGAGTGTTTTCCCTTTATTTTTTTTATTTTTTTTTCTGCTTTGTTAGATGGATTGGCAGGGGCAAAAACTGGCGGAGCAGCTGATGCAGATAATGCTGCTTGCATTTGCTGTGATTGCATTTTCAACTGGATATCTCATGGCTTCTTTCCAAATGATGATCCTCACATACGCTGGTGGTGTGGTTCTCACCACATTGGTTACTGTCCCTAATTGGCCCTTCTTCAACCGCCATCCTCTTAAGTGGTTGGATCCATGTGAGATAGAAAAGCATCCCAAGCCACAACCATCCACAAATGTAACTCCAAAGAAGAAACCCAATAAAAAGTAGGCTTTTTCTTTTTCCTTTTTTTGTTTTTTCTAGTTATGTTGGTCATAACTTTTATATAGGCCCTAACTAATTTGGGGTGAAGGTGATTTGAATATTTTGAAAGTACTTATGTTGGTAATAGTATTTCTTTGAAGTTGATGCTTTGACAGTAATTTGCATTTCTTATTCTGTTTCCCTCCCTTTCCCCTTCTGTGGATATTACAGAGTACTTAACTTCTTCAACAACAACAATATATGTTTTTTTCTTTTTGACATTGCTTAGCCATTTACCTTTTTGCCTGTTTTCTAGTTTATAATCTCTTTTAGATATTTGATAATATAATGGGGACAGAGGAACATTTGTCTTTAGACGGTTGATGGGGTAAGTGTACAATTTTAATCATTCTCATTACAAGATAGCCAAGTGATTTCCTAAGCTATTCTATCTGGAATCATGAATTAATTTGTTGCGTGTTAGACTTTTGATGTTTAACAGACCTAGTTAAATTGGTGATGGGTCATTCCATTGTTATGGAATTCGCATATATATTGGAAATCATTATCTCATTTTACATGAAATAATTATCTCATATTATTCTTACATCAAAAATTGTGTCACTATTTTTTTTTAATAGGTGTTGGGCTCCACCACATCATGTTTCTATAGTAGAAGATAGTTATCTCCAACAACATGAGAAAATAGAATCCCTATATGTATATATTTGAAGATGAAGTTATACTTAGAATCTCTTACAACCATTTCCATTATCATTAGATCAAAATCAAATTCATGGTAACGAAATGGCATCAACATTTTATCTAATGATAATAAAATGGTGGTATGTTAGGGTATGAACCCTAAGGAGAAAGTGAAAGAGAGGGATTTGCAAGGAAAAATCAAGTTTGTTCATTAATTTTTCAATACAATGTTACATCCTTCGTTTTATTCAACCCATTCCTACTACAGTAAGTAACTACTTACCCAAACGTCCCACGTGAGTAGAACTAACGACACAAATACTTCACTAATGACTCAGCAGTACAACATTTACACACGTGGCCATTAAGTAGCATAGTCAACTAGCCACTCTGGCTTCCTATATGTATGCGACCAGACTTCCCACACATTGTAACATTGTAAGGTAAAATAGGTTGCAAGTATAACATGTCTATATTTTGAATCCATTACTAATGATTGTTCACTTACTTTTTTAATCCATTACTAAGGATTGTTCTCTCTAATTGTGTCTTACTTTTCTTTTTCTTTTAGTGGAACTTTCCTTAGTTCAGGTGGCATATATATGCAGTACAACATATATATCTTAATCTAAAGGATTTTTGTAGCTTTAGTTACATGCAGTTACAAACTGAAACATTTTTTGTTGTAGTCTTGGTTGGTAATGTATTCCTCATGTTTTGTTGTCATTCCGGGTAACCCCGAATAGACAATGATGCAGTGTTCGTTACAGTCTACAAAATGATTCAATACTACTGAGTACTGATAGCTTGGCGACGTCTGCCTGAAATATTAGACTACAATTTTGTCTCCTGAATCCTGATGTTCAACTAGGGTCATCTAAAGGAACTAAACTCGTTGTGGCTATTCGTAAAATTTAGGTCGATTGGGCTTGAAAAATATTAACCCATTTAAACTTTAATATTTTCAGCTTGATTTAATCTGTATGAATTTTATTTATTATTATTTTTTTACAATAATGTGCAACAGTAACATATCAATTGTATAATTTTCAAAGAGGAGGAGGAGGGGTCTTGTAACTCTTGTTTAGTTTTGGGGATTTTCCTTAAATGGGTAGGCTAGTAAAATTTAAGCCGGTTTAATACTTAAATCTTTTTAGTTTCGTCACTCATTGACCGTAAGGCCCCTCTGGAGGTGCTTAATCAAGGTTGTCAAAACGAGTTGACATGACATGAATTTAACACGATACGAATATGCCAATACGAACACAATACATATTTTTATTCGTGTCAAAATTTTCAACATAAATACGACACGATTTTTTTACAGATTGATACGACACGAATAACGCGCAAAATTAGGGATCGGAATGATAATTGACAAAAAAAATTAAAAAAATGTGTCAAAATTAAAAAAATTTAAAAAAATAGTAAAAAATAAATATCGGTCGACACGAATTTGACATGCGACGCAACACTACACGATTTTTTGCTAATCATTTTTCTCAACACGAACACGACACGAATTTTTTTACAGGTCAATTTGAACACAAAATTTTTCGTGTTGTGTCGCGAATCGACCCGCGTGTCATAACCTGTTTTGACATTCCTATATTTAATTGGACTAATAGGATCTTAAGTGGTATGCTTGATAATTAATTGACCCACAAGAGATCTTCAAATGTCAATAAGGCCAAGCCCAGTCCTATATATCTGCTGATTGTTATGAAGATCCAGCACTAGTGTACTGCATGGATGAAGGAAGACGAGATGCTAGGAAATGGTCTTTTTTGGGCTGTGTAAGGACAAGGAGCTAACTTTTATTATTTTTTAGTTGGTAGTTTGTCATAACTAGAATGCACAACGAAGTACTTAAATCTATCATCCCAATTCCAAGCTTGCATAAGTAAGAAATGAGGACTTAGAGCCGAGTGTGTTGATGTGTCATAAAATTGTGGATATTCATAAACCGAAGAGATGACTATCAAGCAAGGGAAAATTAAAACCCATATATCACTAGTTAGGTGCTACGTTGGACTAGACCAATTATTGAGCTATATCAAGTGTATGTTGAACCTTACCTCTAGCTTAGATCCTAGCCCGTTACCAAATCCCTTTTAAAGTCCCCTTGGAATGGTTGGAATATTTATTCTCTCATTAATGTTGCCGTAAAAAATGGGAAAATGATCCTCTCACGCAAAGAATTGTGCACGGTTTAACAAATTTAAATATTTGGTACCTATTGACTAGTTTGAAACTAGATGTTTCAATTGTAACCAGGTAAATTGAATGTACCCGTTTTCGATGTATATTGAGAATTGAAAATAGAGTAAATATTTTTTTTTGGTCCTCAGCAAATTTTATTATGTCCGCTTTAGTCTCTAACAAATAAAAAGGCTATTCGTGATCTCTAAAAAATTCAAAATGGACTCACTTAGTTGAAATCGTGATCCCTCACAAATTAGAAAAAGACCTATATTAGTCCCTCAAGAGGACTAAAATGAGTCCACTTTAAATTTTTTAGGGACCACGAATAGCCTTTTTATTTGCTAGAGATTAAAGCGGCCATCGTAAAATTTGTTGGGGACCGGAAATGATATTTACTCTTGAAAGTATTAAGGTAGAAGAGGAAGGCAGGTGACACGGTAAAAAACCAAACTTAAGTCGATATAAAACTTTAGCCAATGCAAACAAAATTACTAGCTCGTCGTTGTCTATGCTTTACTCTCCATGTGAGTGGAAATTTAGACCATTATTGAGCTAAAGTTCTTATGGCAATAACTTGATTTCGATTGTTCAATTTTTTTTTACAAGTTTTAACATAAGAAGAAGTGTTTATCTTTTTACATGACACAATTTATATCTTTTCACTCTCACAGAGAGATGAGATCCACACTTTTTTTTTTGTCAACTCTTTTTTCTCCTTTATCTATCTCTTTTTGTCAACTTTATATCTTTTAAAATGAGATACACTTTTTCCTTTGACATATTTAGAGTAGTGTTTTATTTCTAAAAATTAATTATGCTATTTCTTTTTTATGGTACAAAACGCGTTCTGAGATGAATCCACAAATGAAGTTTTGAATTTTCCAATCGACCTCACAAACTTCGGTGAAGTGGATTATTCACCTTCTTGCTGAAGCTTGATAATCCACAAATAAGAAAGAGAAATGTCACTAATAATTTACTGTACTCATTCTACGGGTACAGTAAATGGAGATATTTTTCTCGAGATAAATTATTTTTGGTGAGTCTAAAACAATGTTACTTTGGAATAGAAATTAAGGTATTTTTGTAATTCTAATTTATTGCATGGTTATATTAATCTTTATCATTATAATTTTTTAATCTTACAACTTCAAAATGACATCGTTTTGGATTTATCGGAGATAACTTTATTTACCGTGACTGAAGAAATATTTTTTCCTAATTTTAAATATTTAATTTATTCTTAAACAAAATTTAATATTGATATCACTAATGGATAGTAAAGTCATGTTATTTAATGCAAATCAAACGTAAAATTTTATCCAATAAAAATGCTAAAAAGAAATATCAAAAAATCAATTATTAATATTTTTAAATGAGTAATAACACATCTCTACGGTGTACAAGAGTGAAAATATAAGTATTTATAACACTCTTTGAAAAAAAAAAAAATTTAATAGATTGATAATATTTTATAATAATGAGTAACTTAATTTTTTATAAAAAACTATGTATATAACATTATATACTTGTAATTTGTAGATAAAATTTAAAATAATATGTTTTTAAAAAAAATTCGGAAATAAATAAATAAATAAATATATATATATATATGAGGTAGGATCCTTTGACACAAGTGTCAAATTTCAAATTTGACACCTCATCTGAGAGCCGTTAGATCAAAAAAGATCAACGACTCTGATTTGTAAGCATGTGATACATTTGATCTTTTTTATGTAATGGTTATCAAATGAGATGTCAAATTTAAAATTTGAAACTGGTGTCAAAGGATCCTACCTCTATATATATATATATATTGGGTTCCACTAACTTTTGTGTGTGTTGCATGAAACAAGGCAAATTATCTCATGCAACACGAAAAATAATATTCACATAGAATGTATATAAATATAAGGAGTTTTTAAAAATTCAGAAATACTCTCAGCCATTGAAATTTAACTTAAAAATTAAAAATTATCAAATTAGTCAATAAATATATAATTTAATTTAATATAAAAAAGTATGATTAAAATATTATTAAATATAATTAATATGTGACTAATTTTTGACAACTTCTTTTAGATATCAGTATTCTTTAAAAAATGATACTTAAATAATTCATTGTATTTAATAAAAAATATTACTTCTGTTTCAAATTATCAGTTGAATTTTTTACAAAGGATAAGAAAGTAATTAAATATATCTAATTTCAGATAAGTATAACCACATTTAAAGTTATCGTGGCTATAGTTATCATTTCATCAAGTGAAAAAATTAAAGATAAAAAATAAAATATCTTTATTAATTTTCTAAATTAATAAATAAATACATTATTAAAAAATAACTTATATGTTGAAATAAAAAAATAATAATGACCAACGTAGCTATAAAAGTACATATTAAATAATATATGAGCAAAACAACCACCACTTTGGTTGAGATTGTGACAGTACTAGCCTGCAATCTACATCAATAAACGTAGCTATAAATAGCCTCATCCACGAGAGTAGTTGTTGATAAATTGATAATTGAACACAAGAGTTCAACGCCCAATAAACTTGAAACGATGGTTCACATACGCATGGACTTGCAACATTATCGCATTAACATCAAAGTTAAACCACACTCTGAGTCTGAATAAATAAATAAATAATGATGTTGCTATCAGCGCATAACATATCAATTGGAATCTCAAATCTGTGGTGAACTCTATATCTTCAGCTGATTGGCCCACGTGTCACAAATATTCCACACCCCTTGCTTGCAAATAAGTGGTAAGATTATTCTGATTCTTGGAGCGACTGGTTTTAATTAATTGGCGCGTCCTAATAGCTACAGAATCAAAATCAAAGATTCTAGCAAGACAACGTAATGTATCATAATACGTTTTCTCCTATGCAAAAATAAAATAAAAAAAATTGTCATAATTTTCTTGGGTTTTATTTGAGGAATGTGTGAAACGTTTACACGTGTAATATATTTTTTTTGGCATGTTTACGCTTATAATGTAAATGGTGAAAAATCAGAGTCAAGAGCTATGTCATTTCAAGGAGACACTAGCTCATCACAACATGACTCAATCAAGATATCCATGATCATTGATGGTAATGAAATTCAAAGTATTTAACTCTTTACACTGGTAATTACTTAAAAAGAAAGAATATTAACTGTAAATATAAAATTTTGATAGAGAAACACTGAAGTGACTATTGAGATTATGAGGAAACAATTTTTTTTTTAACTTTTTTTTGTTTTGATAGCCAACATTTTTTTAACTTGACATATGTGAGTGAATGTAAATTTTTTTATCCGTGCAATTAATATTTCTTGTAAAAATATCTATCCCTGAAATTAATCAATGATCGCCATAATTTGATTATATAATAATAATATTTAAAAAGTCCGAAAATACGAATAATAGTGTTAATACATATTTCACTTCATATTGGAAACACAACTATAATGTCAGAAATTATAAATAATAATATTTTTTATACTATACATATTCTTCTTTTTTTTTTCATAACTGACACTTTAAGAATTATAATGTTTTAAATAAACTCAATGGGTGCAGCTCTGTTGGTAACTTGGCGCTGAGTTAGTGGGGTTGGACATGTGTTCGATTCCTGCTGAATGCATTCTTGGGGAGGGGGCTGAACCTTTAGCCATCACTGATCCCCCGCACTCCGGATTAGTCTCATAGCCGGCTCAAAGAGTCGAAGCTCGTGGAGATACCGGAGGGAGCCAACTCGCCTCAAAGAGATAATTAGGGTTGGGTAACTCCAAAAAAAAAAAATGTTTTAAATAATTTATCACTTTAGAAAACGAAGAAAGCATTAATTATTTTTGAATTTTTAAATGAAATAAGAAAATATTGATAAAGCGAGAAAATAAAGAGTGTGTTTGTTTGTGTTTTTATAAAAGAAAAAAAAAAGTTAAAACAAACGGCATGCCTGTTCGTTAATGAAATATAAGGTATTTCCTATGTACTAAAAAAATAAAATAAGGTATTTCCCATATATTATATCATTAATTGTGTTTCTCGCTAATTATGACAGTTTTATTATTATCTCTAATTTTCACTTCAAAATTTAGTATTTTTTACGGCATAGGTTGATTATTGGCGTATTACTACAGCCTACAGGAGGCGTCCTACCTGAGATTTAAGAATTTCCAATTCCAAACAGTCTTTTCTTTTTGCTAATCTTCCAAACACGGTCTTTACTTTCATTATTAAAGGGATAAGATATTGTTACTATCAAATAATGTTATTATCATATCTTAATCGTTAATTTCTGACAATCAATTATTATTATTTTCACAAATCAAACTAATTAATTAATTATTAATTCATAATAAATGATAACCGCCGATTAACAGAAATCAACAGTTAAGATATTATAATAATTGTTATAAAAAAAAAAAGATATTATAATAATATTAATAGTAACAATATCCTATCCCTTGTTAGAATACTTAAAAACATATTGGTTATACCTCAAAAAATAATTTAGGGAGTGTTTTATTTTAAAGTTAGTTTATATATATTTTTATATTTTATAAAAAAATTTCTTATTTTAAAAATCTATTATTATTATTATTATATTTATCTCATTTTATATGAGAGAAAAATTTATCCTACACACATAAAAAAAGAATAGATGGCACTATTTTTCTTTCTCTCTTCTCTCACTTATGAATCTCATTTATAATTTTATTTTTATATAAAATAATTATTTTTCTACAATATAAAAAACTATTTTCCTTGTTATAAATATAGATTAGTACCCATTTTTTCTCAATATTCATTGTTCAATGTTATCTCTTTATGTGTATTCCAATAATTTCACGTGGAGTGAAAAATGAGTTCTGAGGTGGACACGGTTGTGTCAGTATTATCCACTGTTTTATCTCCAATGTCTAAATCTTCATAATCCTATAAATACCCCCCTTTTCTTTTCTTCTTGCAGCGCCTCCATCTCCTATCCTCTTAACATATCTATTTCTTTCTTAACATCTCTTTCTCATTCTCCTTTCCCCTTCAGATTTCATTCTTCTTGTAGCTTTGTAAGTTCCTCTTTTTTTCTTTATTGTTTTTTCTTATGTTGCATTCTTGTTTTCTTAAGTATTAAAAGTTCCTATTTCTCTTGTTACAGATCCACCGATCACTATTTATAAATCTACGAGGATCCTTTGGTAAAGTCTCATTACAAAAAAATATCTCATTTTTGACTTTCATGCTTCTTCTTTTAAATCGGTTTAAGTGGTTTTATTATGACTTCATCCATACCATTTGGTTCAGCAGGCTATAGGGGCAAAATTTTATTCTTATCAAAATTACTCGCTTAGTTCTTCTCTTTCATTTCCGACTCGTTTTATATTGAGATCACAAGCGTGTATGCACTTTCTGGAAACACTGGAAGGTGGTCCTTTACCTGAATGATGTTTTATTTTATTTTAAATTTACATCACGTGTATATATATATATATATATATATATATATATATATATATATATATATATATGGGGGATATATATATACGGGGGAAAGGATACACTGACAACCAATTAATGTTAGATCGATTATGTTCAGATATATCTATTTATATGGTTATGATTTTTCATATTTAATATTTTATATTTATTTTTACCTTTTTATGGTTGTGATTTTCTATATTTAATGCTTTCATATTAAATTCGGGGAATCATAACCATACAAAGATGAAATAAATATAACTTTTGGATCAACATAATCGATCTAACGGTAAAATTAATTGATAGTAACACTAATTGGTTGTTACAATATCATATCCCATATATATATATATATATATATTATATATATATCAAGGAATCCTAATAAACAATTTTAGCCTTAATTCAATTCCACAATTATAGCGTCCCAAATTACAACATTCCATAATTACATCCTAATTTACTGCTCAATTCCAGAGTTTCTTTCAAATAAATAGTGGTTTGCTTTTGTTAAGAAAGAATGTATATATTCACTCTTAATTTTTCTAAATCTTGTGCTACTCTTTTTGTTTCTCTTTTTTATTATTTCAGCTGATATGAACTTGAAGAGAATGGAAGTTACAGGTGGCTAAGTCTTGCCAAGTTCTATGGCCTACTCTGGTAGGACTTAACAATTTTGCTAATAAAAATTGATTAGTTTGTATATTTTACTTTGACACAAAAGCAACTTTTTGCTATAATTTCTAGATACCCGGCCAATGTGTAAGGGAAGATTCAACTCTGGCAGCATAAGGTATAATTGGCAGAAAACAATTGAGAGGGATTACAGTAGGAGCAGAACTTCTTTTATGGAATTTGAATCAGACTGGACAAAGAACAGAAAGTCATCTGCTTATACTGCTCACGTGATTCGTTCTGCAACTTCTTTTATGCCTTGGTCTTGTAGAATCCCAATAGGTGAAGGATATTATGAATTTCTTTATGTGTAATTGCTGATTTGAAAAACGCCTGGTTTCATTGCTGGAAAGAAGAGATTTACAGAGCCAAATATGTGTTATCCAAATATGGCCAATCAGGATAAACCAAATCATTCTAAAAGCAATCATTTTGTGAAGTCTGAGGTTCTGGATGATGATCATAACCCCATTCTACATGGGTTGCCTGATGATGTTTCAAAGTACTGCCTTGCACTTGTGCCTCGTTCTAACTTCCCAGCTATGGGTGGTGTCTGTAAGAGATGGAGGTGCTTTATTCAAAGCAAAGAATTTGTAACTGTGCGAAAGTTGGCTGGGGTGCTTGAAGAATGGCTTTATATCTTAACAACAGATAGTGAAGGAAAAGGAAGCCACTGGCAGGTTATGGATTGTCATGGTCATAATCGCCGATCTCTTCCACCAATGCCTGGTTCAGGAAAGGCTGAGTTTGGGGTAGTGGTTCTTAATGGAAAGCTTCTTGTCATGGCTGGCTATTCATCAATTGATGGAACTGCCTCTGCCTCAGCAGAGGTTTACCAATATGATTCTGGCGTCAACAGGTATGCTTTTCTGCTGCAATTTACCTGGGAAGTTATTACATATGATATGATAATTACTGCTATGTAGTTGAGTTAATGGAAGACCTACTCATAATTTATGAAACTTTATTTAAGTGTCTGGTGTGCTTATGAAACTCTAATATAGTAAACCTTCGAGTATTTGTAATTTGTATTAAGAGACAAATCTGAAATATATTTTTTGAGCCTGTAATTTTGTTCTCAAAATCAATATGTTTTCAGTTGTTTATGTCCCGATCATTGCAATACTCATGATGAGCAAGGATTTATAAGCAAATTGTATGCATTAGGAATCTATAGCATCTTTGACTCAAAATTATACTCCCCCTTCACGAGATCAATTATTTTGGACCAAATAGAGTAGAAATTTTTCATTTGATATAGAACTCTGTTGTATAACAATTATTGTATTACTCAATTCCAGAACTGCATCAACTTAGAAGTCAAATAAATCCTTATGTCTTGTTACTTGGTTTATCAGGAGACTGCAATTTTCTCCTATGTAGATGGAGCTTCAGCTTGGTTTCACATGTCATAATGGACTTACTCCATTTTTAATATAGGGAGAGAAAAATCCTAGTTGGTCCTTCCAGTTATCAAAATTTATCCATTTCAGGGATGTGTTGGTTTTAGAAATTGCTTGTTTGTTCATGCTTAAAAGTTTCTTTTCTTTTTTTTTGGTGCAAGAAGGTTTTAACTTTTGGAATAAGTGCTTTTTTCTATGAGAATTGTTTTACTCGAATACAAGAAAGTAGAAAGTCGACTAGGAATCTTAGAATGGGTTTATAGATTGACAAATTGACTTCTTGTGTGATTTTAATTTCCCAATTATGTAAAGGCTTAAAATGGTTAGTTATTTTTTTCTTTTCAAAATAAATAAATAAATTATTGGCAACATTGTTACATGAATTCTGAAATGCGAAATTAACTTAATCATACATCAGCCTCGCTTTTATAGTGTGCTGACTACTGTGCTCTACATCTGTATTTATTTCCTTATGCTCTTTCTTATAGATAAATACATGTGTAATTATTGAAGTTTTAGGACTGTCTATCACCTTTTGGGAAGGTACTATCTTTGCACATTGCAATATTAAAGTTTGTAATTGCATTTACAGCTGGAGCAGATTATCAAACATGAATGTGGCTCGGTATAACTTTGCTTGTGCTGAAGTCAATGGCTTGGTTTATGCTGTTGGAGGCAACGGGTTAAATGGTGACAATCTCTCCAGTGCTGAAGTGTATGACCCAGATACTGACAAGTGGACACTGATAGAGAGCCTTCGTCGCCCAAGATGGGGTTGCTTTGCCTGTGGATTTGAGGGGAAGCTCTATGTCATGGGTGGAAGGTCAAGCTTTACAATTGGAAATTCCAAGTTTGTTGATGTTTACAACCCTGAGAAGCATGGCTGGTGTGAGATGAAAAATGGCTGTGTCATGGTCACTGCTCATGCAGTACTTGGTAAGAAGTTGTTCTGCATGGAGTGGAAGAACCAAAGGAAGTTAGCAATATTTAGTCCAGAGGACAATTCATGGAAAATGGTACCAGTCCCTTTGACAGGGAGTTCAAGTATTGGTTTTCGATTTGGGATACTGGATGGTAAGCTTTTGCTATTCTCACTAAAGGAAGAATCTGCATACAGGACTTTGTTATATGATCCAAATGCAGCACCAGGGTCTGAGTGGCAGACTTCAGAGATAAGACCATCTGGTTTGTGCTTGTGCAGTGTAACTATCAAGGCCTAAAAGGTTGTCTGCCTCTGAATTTGTGAGACCTTAAGAGAGTTTTGGAATAGAGTTACGGACATTTTTTGTTTTCCTAGGAATTAGGATAGTAGTGATGATGTGGTTATAAAATTTTAATATAGTGCTTTAGTTTGCTTGTTCCTGTTAATTTTATCTTGTCATGCCTTTTATGTGTCTTGTGTATGGTGGATTATTTTCATTCTTTTTGTTGTTCTCTTTTGGTAATATTAGAAAGTGATAAAACATTAGAATTTGAGACCTACTTGAATCTTAATGAGCACAATCTCTCGAGTTTGGGCGCACGTGGTCAAATTTTATGTGGGCGTAATTTGCATGAAAAATGTCTGGTTAAATAGAATCAAGTTAGGAGAATTTGAAGCATGTTAATTTTTATTTTTTTATTTTTTTTATCTTTATTTTTATTTTTGTGTAGTCTTGAAGACACGAAGGTAGATAATTGTAAAAAATTATATGCAAGTACACCATTCAGTTGTTGTGTGATATTGAATTTTAAGTGTGGACCATTTTATATTATCATTCTTTCATATATTATCATAAGATTAAGATAGTTTCCTTCTTTTAATAATTTCTTTAGAAATTAAACCCTTTTAATAATATGGCAATGAAAATTTATAATTGAATGACATAATATATTATAGTTTTGCACTGAAATTTAATCAAAAATAAATTTTAGTATACTTTTAGGCTTGCTAAAAATAATTACTATTGAATGATCTACTGTTAACTCCCTATTTCTTTTTTTCTTTTTTTCTACTTCTAAGTATTAGTACAGAACTCCCCATTTGTAAATCAAGGTTAATTATATTACATGAATATATCATGTCTAAGTTATGTTACTTGCTGATGTAACCCTATTAAAAAGGAAGGGAAAAAAACCATGTGTAAATTATGTTTGCTTTTAAAGTAAATAAGTGAGGGTGTATTCAAATATTGATTTAATTAAGTGCATCATGATGTTAATTAATTAAAGATTAGTAATGAATATACTTTTTGAGTAGAACTCAGGGTATCCTCCGGTCGGAGGTTGAAGACGAATCCTTTCGGGGTGTAGAGATAATCAAAATGAATTTTGTCATACCAATAAAGTCTTTTTCATACTTTTATTTATTCTTTTTAGAGACAAATTCACTTTAAGAGAATCTTATCGATAAAAAAAAGATATTTTAGCTTTACACTGAAATTAAATCAAAATTAAACTTTATTATAATCTTAAACTTACTAAAAGATAATAACAATTGAATGATATACTTTTAACTATCTAGTTACTTACTCATTTTAGAAACAAGTTCACTTTTAAAAAGTCTTATCTCATAAAAAAAATATTTATATGTTGTTTCTTATATTAATAAAGATTAGTATAAAATGCTTACCAAAAAAAAAAAATTAGTATAAAATGTTCACATAACTAGTCTCCTACCTTGCTAGGTATCATAATGTACTAAGCTTGATATATAAAATATTTAAATATATAAGAGTTATTCATTCAAACGTCAACATAATCTTTGCTATAATATATGGAAAAATTGTTTGTCATTTTAAATGACAGAAAATTATGTCATTTTAAGAGCGATACAGATACAGAAAATTAAAAAAAATCACTCACTTTCTCTCTCCCATGATTTCTGTTTTTCTGTGTCTATCTTTCTCCTAAAATGACATAACTTATATCATTTAAAATGACAAACACCAAACTCATAATATATATGCTACAAGGGAAAAAAACAATTTTTATAACTTATTGGCAGCTTGGCGCCATTGGGGCACGTTTAAATCACATACAACTTATTTGATATTTGAAGAAGTTGTTGCATCAGTTAGAAGTGGTTATTGTTAGTTAGGAAGTTGTTAGCATTTACTATTAGAGCATGTTGCTGTTAAAATTATGTTATAGTAGTAATTTTTTTGGATCTGGATCTTCTAATGTTAAAAATCACATGACCATGACATGTGAAAAATTATAATCATATAAAGGTAGATCAATCGTAATAAAAGAAGAAAGAGAAAATATATTAAAATAGGTAATTACAAAATCATAACCGTTGATTTATTTTTGTATGGCTGTGATCTTTCTCACGTTACCGTATCATGATCCATTTCCAATTTTTTTTTCTGTTGGGTATAAAGGATGGCACTGTAAAAACGGCACCTTGCAAGTAAAATTTTCATTCACTAGTCAAATCAAATCTCACAAAGTTCCATTCGTTTCTCTTCTTCTTCGAAGGTGTAGGAGTTCTGCTCCTAACACAACACAACACAACACAATGTCTGGTGGTGAAGCATTCGGAAGTCGTTCTAAGCGTTCCCTCTTCTCCAAGCCGACGCCGACGCCGTCTTCTTCCTCTGGTTTCAGATTTCAGACACCACAACGAAAAGTTCAATTCACTACACCGTCATCTTCTCACACTGGTTTGGGATTTCAGTCACCACAACCAAAACCTAAATTCACTACACAGCCTTCTTCTTCCTCTGGTTTGGGATTTCAGTCACCACAACCAAAACCTCAATTCACTACACCGTCTTCTTCTCCCACTGGTTTGGGATTTCAGGTACTAGAACCAGAACCTCAATTCACAACCCGGAGGGCCAATGTAGCTCCCGCTCCTTTCTCCGCCGTCGATCTTGATATTCGAGTAACATAACCACCCCTTATCCTACCACTTCGCTTTTCCTTTCTTTCTTTCTTTCTTTCTTTTTCAATTTTTTTGTGTTTTTCGTTTTGTTTATTTTCAATGTTCTTCCATTAGGCAATCGTGGATGCATACAAGGATCAGCCTCGAAACCTTAAGTACGCTTTTAAGGTATTTTCTTTAGGCATTGTTCGGATTCATGGAAATGATGAAATTCAGCGCAATTGAATAATGGAATTAGTTTAAAATAGGATAAAATGTATTTTATTTCATTGCATCCAATACTTCTGTTTTTTCTTTTCCATAATTTGAGAGTATGGGATAGAATTACTCTATATTCTACATAACTATAACAACTCTCTTTATTCTCTTTACTTCTCGAATAATACAATGAAAATTTTAATTCATTCCTCATAAGGTACCCAAACAATTATACGGTAATTTTATTTCATTTCTCATTTTACACCACTCCATCTCATTTCACCTATCATTATATTTCCAATTTCTTTTTAATTTATACGTTTAAGAATTTCACAGCGTTTCTTTATTTTATTTTTTTTAAAAAAAAAAATTAGGGAGTTTTTGGGTTTTGATCGTTAAATTTTGCATCTAAATGTATGGTATCCGTGTCAAGTTGCTGCACTTGTTCATCTTAAGTTTGCTCTGATGTGTGTGTTCTGCAGCATTTGTTGTTTAGTGTAACAGAACCAAAGTTTAGGGTGAAGCCTGATGGTGTTTCAGAAGTAAGTTCCTTCTCTCAGTTTATATTTTCAACCAAATTCTCTAGGGTGTAGTTTGGTGTCCCGTTAAAAATGAAAGAGAAAAATTTATGGATGGATTTTATGTGAAAATTGAAAATTTCATTCCAAATTTTAAGGGGATACTAAACTTACTGTAATTGTTAGGTTTTGGTATGTAAAATGCTTTTACTTTTGTCCTACCACTTGAATAACTATGGGAAAAAGTTTATATTGCCAGATAATGTGGGCGGAGGCCATGGGTAAGCTTGAGGGTATGGAAAGTGCTCATAGAGATCGTCTTTGGCCTCAACTTGTTCAGGGTTTTAAGCATCTTTCACAACGCATTAAGGTAAACTTTATTATTTTTAAGCTTCTCGTAATTGTGTGTTATTACCATGTATTCATCTTAAGGGGTTATAGCAATAGGAGTTGGCTTACATCGTCGACCTTCTTCCCATGTCAATTGCATGACTTGAGTTCGAATCCAAGGGTCCCCCTCGGGTTCCTCATTAGGTTTGGTGGTTGGTCTTGGCATTGGAACAATGCACATCGACATTAGAACTTAATTTTACATGTGAAAGTTGCTTCTTGCTTGAATGATATACCTTCAAACGAAAAAAAAATTTGAGTAAAAAGTATGGGTCTATGGCAAAAGAAATTGATAACGGGAAGTTTATAAGGAGGATTAAGCAGATATGTGGATTTCTTTTTGTGGTATTTAGGATAAGTTTAAGTTAGGCTAGGTGAAATTAGGAAAACTACTTCTCCAAATAAAATAAATTTGGATGTTAGTCATTGAATTTCACAGTGATATTTAATGTTCTATTGAACTGTATCCACTAGTCAATTGATAGAAAGAAAGGTGAACGTACCAACTTCTGATGTTATAGTAAATTCTTGAAATAATGCACGACAAATAATGCAAGCCTTGAGGAAGTGCAAATTATGAGTACAGTTACTCCTAATTCTTGAAATAATGTAAGCCTCGAGGTGGTGGAAATTATGAGTTCAGAACAGTTAATCTAATACTGGAAATACAGGAACATAGTCTCACAAGGAGCGCTTTTAGTGCATAATAGCTTAGCGGCACCGAGATTAATGAAGTCTTAAACTGTCTGATGGAGAGTAGCAGCCATATAGATAAAGGGGAATAGAATATGTAGATCCATATCCACCCACGAGTAGATGAAGTCATGCATTTTAGGCTTTACTTGAATACTCCCTAGAGCATGTCTTCGAATCAGTTGGTGAAAGAGCTGAAAGAGCAGATACACAAGGCTATGGTCAATTTATACGTGCCTCATTCACATTGTCCTACAGATCCAAGACGAAGTCATTGTTTCAGATTCAGAGAGATTACGTATAACGCAAAGTAATATCAAAATGGTATTGCTCTTCCCTTTGCTTTCCCAAGTTCACTGTTAGTGAGTTATTTTCGTCATTCATTGCTGAATTGTCTTTTGAATTGTCTAATGCCTTTTGCAGCTCCAAAGACATTTTCAAGCTGATACTCTTCCTTGGATTCAAAGAATGAAGAAGAAAGAACAAATTCTCCACCTACGTCTATTAAGAGTAGGAACTCATGTTTGAGAAAGAAACTGTGCTGTCAATTGTAGAATGAATTGATTTATTTCTTATGGAAATTTTCCAGCATGACTAATGTTTAATATATATATATATATATATATATATATATATATATATATGTGTGGGAAAAATATTTCCGCAGCTAATGCAGAGAAGTTATCTGCATTTATTTTCAAAACGACGTCGTTTTGGTATTAAAATCTAAAAAAATTATAAATATAAAGACTATTATAACCCTAAAATAAATTAAAATTACGAAAACACCATGATTTCTGTCCCAAAACGACGTCGTATTGACTTACTGCAGATGACTTATCTGCAAGAAAAAACGAACTCTATATATATATATATATAATTATTGTGAGCAGTTGAGATAAAATGTTACATTTGTTGTTTTGGCTTGTGTTTCCCTCCTCCCCAACCCTCTGCCCCCTGTAGGCACTCCTCTTAATTAGTTGGAATTCTGGTAGTCATATTGATACATTGTAACATCTGGCATTGAATTTTTTACATTCTTGCAATTTCATGAGTTTAACTTGTCATGTGCTATGATTGAAGGTAATGAGAATAGTGGAGGTGTTGCAGGGAAAAGGCTGCTGTATACCCTTAACTACAGGGGAAGCTGAACTCGCTGAGAAATTAGCCACAATAACTCGACAGGTAAAGTTCTTGTCCTATACAATCTTATACCTCCTGCTTTGTTACTGAGGTGGAACTAATTTGCAAATATCTTTTCAGCTGAAAGGTTCTGGAACAGATCTACGTACAAGGCTACGAAAGCTACTAACGGTATCTCGTATTCAGACAAATACTATGGGCTTTGGTTGCTCCGTCTATCTTCCAGGATCAACCAAAATTCATGAACAGAGTCTTGCTAACCTGCAGATGGTAAGATGGGACCATTTGATTTCCTTTGTTTTTCGAAAAAAATAAAAAAAAATAAAGGAAGTTGATACTTGTTATGTGATACATATACATTCAAAGAATACAATGTAATAGTGCCCTACTTTTCTCCGGGCAGGTCTTACAACATCAGACAGAGGCCATAGCAAGACTTGGCAGTGTTTTGAAGCGATATATACGGGATATGGAAATTATGATGGCTGAGGACGCAGGAACAACAACTAAAAATGGGAATTCAATCTGAACTTCCTCACATATTTTTTGAAGAACGCATATATGCACTGAACACATATGAGTGAATATCATGTCAAAATCACTAAATAAATAGTGGGATAAAGTCATTTAGTGAGAACATACGAAATTTACACAATAAAAGGAGAAGTATAAAACCTAGAAGGGCATTTGACCTCATGATGGAGAAGAAAATTTTTCTCTCGCTGACCCTTCGATTCTCGCACTAGCCTTTTTTTTTATATAACATGGGCTTCACATTTTTTTTTTCCCTCTGTAGCATAAGACAATACTTCTCCTATTAAATGGGGTGCATAAAAGAAAATATGTCCTTAGTATTTTTCATAAACATACCATTTTTTAGTGATTTTGGGTTTGCTTCTCTCTCTCTCTCTCTTTTCTTTTTCCTGTTTTTAAAATAAAATTAACATGATTTGGCGTGGTATGGGGTAAAAATGGTAGCAGCTAGGGTTAGAGAAACAAAAACAAGCAAAAATAGGAAGGAAAAAAAAAAAAACCAAACCGTCATTACGAAAACAGCATTATAACGGTATAAAAATTAGCTTTGAGAGTAACATATTTGAGGATATAAAAAATGCCGGGGAAGGAATGTTGGTGCTTAGTAGTACAGGTTATAAAACAACAGCAGTATGAATTATTCGTAACGTAACGTTTATCAAATAAGGGATGGGATGCGTTCCACATTCAACGTTCCGGTACTCTAGCTAGGATGGAATTTGATTAGAGAATTTTGAAATTTCTACCAAGCACATATGATCTGTTCCTCATCCATCATAATAGGATTTGGGAGGCTTCAGAAACTAAAACATTAACTAGAATCTATAAAATTTAATATTTTCACTACAACGTTGAACGCCAGTTTCTCCTTTAGTTGGTACTCACGGATGAAGGACGAGAAGGGAGCAAGAGGGATATGTCATATGGTCTCCATGCTGTTTTTATCCTAAATTTTGTCATATGCTTCCGCCATGATTAATACTACAAGCGACGTCCAACCTGTAAATGGATGTGTCCCTTTTCCTTTACCCTTAATCTGATCGTACTGTTCCCACAAAAATCCAGTCTGTTGATAATTGCGTACTATATTTCTGCAGTAAGATGGGAAAATATTGTTCAAGAAACCAACCAATATCTTTCAACAAGATTGCAACAGTACCAAACAAAATCAAACAATACCTAATTAAATTGCTTCTCAATTCTTCGTAGATAACTTTAGCTCTATCCTGATATGGCCCATTCTCTGGAACATTCAACCCAAATATTAGTTTGCAGAAGGTATGAATAAAATGGAATATTATTTATTCAACCCATTCCCTGGCTACCTTTGGAGTAATGGTGGAGAGCTGAAAGAATTCTGTAATTCATGTTTATCCAAATTGGACCTCTCCAATATGGAGGGTCATGCTCTGTGTTGCGTTTCATGTACAAGGAACTGAGGAATAAAAAATATTATTTTTGGTTCACTATTATGTCGAATAAGGTCACTCGAATTAAATCCATTAAAAATGCATTTGAACATAGGTTGCAGACCTTGTTTTGGCAAGAGAACGTAGTCCATAGTCAGTCCATAAGAGGCTGCGATTTGAAATGAGTTCAAGCTGCTTTTCCAGAATCCATGATCCCTGGATGAGACAGTAATATTAAAATATGCATCTAATTGTGAAATCATTCAAACAAGGAATAACAACTTTGTATTTCTTAACATAAAAATCATGAAATTCAGAATTAACGTATATTACTTACAGATGGAATGATCCTCCCCATGAACGGGAACAAACTCACATAACCAATGTGAGGAACCAATCTCAACACAGGCCTCTCCAAAACATCCCGGACAAGCTGGCGAGCATCATAATTTTGTCCTACCTCCATTTCTTTCCACTTAAGTTGAACCTATCAAGGTTAAGCATGTAAAGAAAATCTCATTCTCAGACTTGTACCTTTTCTGTTAATCTTGCAACAATTTGCATACTAATACTAAACATAAATAACTAGACTGTATACCTTTTCTGTATGATTTCCAAAATCAAAGTAGGCACCATATGCATCATCAAAATGCATCTGTAAAGACATCAAGCACAAATTAGGCACGGATAAAATTATAGTAGCAACGAATTGACTCTCTAGTATCACCATGCAAACAAAGGGCAGCTTGGTGCTACAAAGCTCTCATTATCCGCACGATCTAGAGAAGGCAGCAGCCTTACCTTGCATTTGCAAGAGGCTATTAGAGATACGTTTTATCCTTCTGATATGTTAGCTAAACTTTCTCTTAGGGGCTGATTACATGAATCGAACTTGTAACCTCTGGGTTATATGGCGGCAACACCAATCATTGTGCCAAGGTTCCCCTTATAGTGTCACCATGCTAACATTTGATAAAAATGCATGAACATGATTATGGAAGCACCGGTTGACTCTAGTTTCACCAAGCAAACATTTGATGAAAGTCATCTGCATGGTTTGCTTTCAATTTTCTTTTATAAAAAACCATGTAAAAAGAAAAGGAAAATCATATAATCATCTCCATATCAAACTGCATCAAATATCCATGATAAACACACAGAATCTTCCTTAGACTACTATATACAGGAAGCACGGTTGGAAATTTCAATTGCCAAGAGAAAGCATTCGAAAAATAATCCATGTGCATGCAATGCAATGCGTTCATAATAAAAGGTTTCATATATGTGCAGGGGCTGCTTAAGAAATTCGCATTCCTCAATAATTTCATAATAGTGAACATGGAGAAGGCCTAGATTAGGTTCTCCAGTTCTGCAATGTTAAAGAAAGAGAAAGAACGAGAGTGAATGAGAAGAATTAAAACAGAAATGAGATAAAGAAAATGTGAATCACAAGAGGGCTGGTCCTCTAACAAGGGGGTATCCCCTTCCTCCAATGAGAATATCTCAATTTGTTAATTTTATCCAAATTGATCCTATCTACAGTTTGTTTCCCCCTATTTAGCTACCTAACTCCTAACTAGGGGTGAAACTGGATCGGGCCGGCCTACAGGGGCCTACGGCTCGGCCTACGTCAGGCCAGATCTGACCTAGTATATTTCGTAAGATGGGTCGGGCTTGAGCCTTGAAAAAGCTTGTTTAATAAAAAGGCCGTAGGCCCATTTTCACAAGGTCTGGCCTATAAGCCTACAGGCCGGCCTATATTGTACTACTTATTTTAAATAAAATAAAATAGAGTAAGTATGCCTTGAAGAAAAAACAAAAGATATAAATTTAATCAATTGCAATTATTTATAACTTAATTATATTCGATTATATTTTAATAGAAGTCTAACTTTATTTCTTATATAAGAGGAACCAACATCTCAACATGTTAGATTGTGTATATGAATATATTAAAATATTTTTGGGAGAGGTTATACTTACTACAAGCATCGTGATGTGTTTGTTGGATTCATGTAGTTATTTTAATTTACATAGTATGGATTTGTTTGTTGGATCTCATGAAATATAAGTTATTTAGTTTTAGCATTTTGCTTTTGAAAATGACTTAAATGCAGATTCTATGAGTTTTTTTGTGATTCATGATTCTGTATGGACGTTGAAATTATGATTTTTGGTTTAGCAACAGAATTTGAGTATTTTGTAAAGTTGATTCATGGTTCTACTTGGAAGTTAGAAATTAACAGGCTAACGGGCTAGGCCAGACCATTTTTTTATTTTTTTTTATAAACGGCCAAGGCAGGCTAACAGTTAGACTCGTACTAGGTTTGGGCCGGGCCAAATTGAAATTTTTTGGCGTAGGCTTGGACTTTTCGGGGCAAAGCTTGGCCCAGCCCACTTTCACCCCTACTCCTAACCACCCAAAGTAGCTCTTATAACAAACTAACTACAGTTTATTCCTCCTGAAATATGCCCTCCAAATTCTCCTATCCTTATTCTTATTGGGCCTAACAGCTCCACTCAGGTGAGACTCATTTTTGTTATCTATGATTCTATGTTGTACGAAAAAAAGTAGGCAAAATATTGTTTTCCAAATTGGAAAACTAACAAAATAAATAAATAAGTTATGACATAGTCTTCTTAACAAGGATATCAAAAAGTTTTCTTTTCCAGAAAATAGTAATTCGTTTTTCATGTTATCTCTAATTCTGTAACTGTATGTGCTAAGTTTTCTTTTCTCTTTCTTCCTCCCTTTTTCCTCTATCCTCTTTATCTTCACTGACTTATGCTCCTGTACCAGTGCTGCATCACCAACAGCAGAGATGCATAATGAAATATCAAGGTTTACAACAGCTCCGAAGAAAGGGAGAAGGGAGCAAAGGTAAATACCTGGTTCAGTAACTCATGATCTGATAGCAATTTAGCAGTATAACCATAATTCTGCATCATTTCATTCAATTTGTCAATTAAATTCAGTAATTTAACTTTCTGCTGCCTACATTTCCCTACTTGGTATCTAAAATTTATAATGCATAACTACAATACTGTCGAATTTATTTTTCAAAATTTACCCTGCCAGGTTTGGTTTCCTTATCCAACAGTTCTTCAATGGAATGCATACAATCTGCTGCAAACAACATCCAACATCTAAGATCCAAGTGACGTTCATCTGCACTTGGGTGTGAAGCACGTGGATAATCATCCAACCCAGAGGACAGTGTCTGAAAATGCCAGAAATAATGTTAGCTTGGAGCATGTGTCTTCATTTATAAGGAAAGCTGTGTCATAATCGACCAACATAAAACTGAAGGCTGCATTATGTGATATTTGGATGTAATACATCAAAAAACAATAACTGCAAGTCAGAATTCAGGTTCTAGACTCATCCAGGGCCAATTTTTATGACTGCCTAGTTTCTAGTTCTAGTTTCTAGTAACAACAGAGAAAACCATCCAATAGGCTCAATTTTTCTCAAAGAAAAAGTCCTGTTGTATTCTGTTGGTACCACCAAGAAACATATTGATCACCAATAGCCAAAAGTGAAAAGAAATATAGAACAAGTGTTTGCAGATCTACTGGCTAGCTGTAATAGCAATCTATCAATAAATCTCAATCGTGGTTGCCTTAACATTAGCTTCTGTTTGAAGATGCCCAAGGTTGTTGTTAAAAACAATATAATATAAAACCATAATTGTGGCCTTCGCCTAAAAGCTTAAATTTATGGATTAAATTGGTTCCTTAAAGGTGTTTTGGTCAAGTTAATCTTCTGAGCTACCTACATTGTTTAGATTGAAATTGTAGATAACTACAGAAGGAAATTAAAATAAATGTACTAAGAATGCATATTAGAACCTTGGGATTTAACTCACGCATTGTCCTATTGTCCCGTCCATGCCAATAGTAGCTGCTCATCTGATTCCCTGTGTTAAAAAGTCATGATAAAAAAAATAGGTCAGATAGGAACACAATCTATTTCCAGCACTAAAGGCGGACCCCATCCATGCATTATAGCACATACCTGACTGAGTTGTATTGAACCATTGGAACCATGCTTCCAATCGAACAAAGGCACGCTCCAGGAACAGAGAGATCTCACTTCTTTCTATTGAAGTAAATTCTTTATTCTTCAAGCCATTAATTATATCTAGAAAAACAGATTTTTAACCACTTTGATTAGGACATAAAAGAAAAGGATGGGGAGAGGGGGGGGGGAAGAGGCCAAGGAATATACAGAAATAAAAGAATGTACGTTACTACAACATAGCTGTGTAAAACAGGGGCCAATAACTTTTATATGCTTTATAGAATTTTCATGTCCTATATGATCAAAGAGAGGTAGAGGTAGACCGAAACTTACTTGGAAGAAGGTAGTAAAACAAGACTTGATGGATTGGGATATAGATTGGCGAACGATGTGTATAAGGACAAAATGGAAAAAAGCTATAAGAATGGTGGAGGGTTAAACCCGTTGTTATTCTTATGTTCCATATAGTCCCTTTTTAGTGTTTTTCTCTTCATCTCTCTCCCTATCCTTATTTTCCCCTTCTTTTCCTTTCTCTCTTTTCCCCTTCCCCATCTATTTTTTTTTTTTGGTCTTACTTTCTTACTCTCTTTTTTCCTTCCTATATATCTCTATCTTTAGTTTACCTTAATATACTTTCTCTTTTAATTGTTTACCTCTTTATATATATATACACAAATTTATTTTTATTTTTATTTTTATTTTTATTTTTTTTTCAATTTCTTCTTATCTTTCATTTGGTCTCATCTACCACCGACCCGATTTAGTTTGGGATAAATGTATTGTTGATGTTGATGTTGATATGATCATATAAATCTACCTTCATTCTCAAGTTATTTTACGCATTAAATAATTTCTAAAACAATTCAAGTAACGAAAATAGCATCAAAGCTAAATGATTGCCTTCCAGCAGCCCCAAGATATTTCAACATGTATTCAACATCACCGTTAAACGTGCTTCTGTTTTAAATTCATATTTATAGATATAATGTATATAAAGTGTCAAACTGTCTCCATAAATTTATTACTCAGAAACATCTCAAGTATCATCAAATCTAGGTCAATTATGCATGATTTCAAAGTTAAATCAAGAATATGCAAAGAGAGTTTACAAGGATACATTAACACAGAAGAGACAAAAAAATAAACAGGCAGGAAGTTGCTCATTATCGTCCCTCAACGAAGAGGAAAACCTAACACATACAGCCTAACCTTAAGGCTTAAGCTATGGCTTGCTTGAACTCAATAATTGGAACATATTTGTTGCCTTCTTTTCGAAATAATGATTCTCGTAACTAACAAAATATATAAATAAAAAGGAGAATATAAAAGGACAAAATAGAAAAGGAACATTAACATATACCATTTAATGCTAAAAACAGAGTTGGAGGATTTCCATTTGTTGGATACTGAGGAACAAATTCCTCTGGAACCCTACTGCAAGTTGCAAGTACAGAAGAATTTATGTCAATAGGACTGCTAAAAATTTTAAATTTACTGCAACCATTTGAATAAAATGTTTTGTAGCAAACCTCAGTGCTTCAGCCCCTAGAACTTGTTCACGTGGTATCCATCCATCAATATTCATCAAATCTAACCAGTGTCCAATGATATCCAATGAAATATGAATGTCCCAACGCCTGGTTCATGTGCATAAGGGCAAATAGAGCATATTTACAGACCAGACGATTTTTTTGTTAAATAATACCAGTAAGTCTTGTGCAGTCAAGAAAATACAACACTTATCTGCACTTAAATTTCAAACAAGACCAATAATAACGATGATGGTGGTGGTAGTAGTTGTGAAGGATATTATTAGTACAGGAAACTAACCAGATTAGAAGTTGATGAAAACCTTCATCCCATAAAAATCCTCTTGGAAAGAAAGATCGACTTGGTACAGCTGTGTAAAGCTCAGCAGGCCAATATGATATATAATTAAGATGTTCTCTAAGCTGCAAAGGAAAACAACCCACTGCATATTTGTCCGAGTTCTAAGTTGCTGACAGCTAATTAAAAGAACAGAGGATAGCAATAGGACGGTGTAAAAAGGAAAACTAAAGCCACTGACAGCAATTAATTAAGGAATATCAAAACCAAACTGTTAGGATGAGAAGTTAATGAGTAATAAAGCATACATCTGCAAATTAATATAGATCTAGCAACTGACACCAGATCTCTTTTCCGGCCTAAAACTCATCTTTCTGACAAAGAAAAATCCGAGTTTTCAGCAAAGAGATTAATTAAATGATAGATAAATGTCTCACGGCATCTCATCTAATTAGACTTCTATCAGAAGAAATTTTACAAAAATAGATCTATACAAAGGCAACAGTTGTGTCTGAGAACATTACCTTCCTACCAAATGGTTGTGGCGGTTTCTTTTGGAATCAGAATCTCTATGGCACCAGGTAATTTGGCGCAAGTGTGGAATTCAACAGAATGGGGCGATGTGAGGGGTACAGTCCATGCAACTCACTTTAGTCCTCAGATATCTATGTCACAAAGGTTTGCTTCTTTCACTCCTTGGTTTTTTTTTTGTTTGTTTTTTTTCAGGTTTGGGGATTGTTCTTGCTTCAGATTTTGCGAAAACTTGGAGGCTGGGGATCAGCCTTTTTCTTTTTTTATTTGTGACATGAAACCTTTTCCTACTTCTTACCCCTGCCATAAAACCCGACTGATACATGCTTTCAATTGGTTTGATTGATTCTATATATCCCTATTCATTAATAGATACAAAAATTTGGACTTCAGAGTTCAGACTCCTTGGGAGTGAAGCCTTGTAAATTATATTCTGTTTGTGCAGCCAATATCCGGCCTTGGCAGCCCGGAGTGGGTTGGAGCGAGATCGAATCATGGCGCTTGGGCTAGTTATTGGTAAAGGTAAGTAGGAAAAGTTGCATCCTGAATATTAGCTATAGCTTTTGACCTAGTGGTAAGCACTCGATCCAACACTTGGTATTATAGTCGAAGTGATGTGTTCAATTCCCAAGATAACACTTTGCAGAAGGCAGGCGTTTAGGGGGGAGGGGGGGTTGTTGGTGCAGCCAACATCCTACTTTGGCAAGGCCTGATGTGAGTCAGAGTCAGATTGAACCATGGCACTTGACCTAGTCAGGGTAAGTAGAAAGAGTTGTGCTCCGACTAACAATTATAGCTTTTGACCTATTGGTAAGCGCTCGATCCAACAATTTCCAGGACCTCTCCTATTCTCCTGTTTAAGAAGGGGGAATTTTCTTCTTGCTATTCACTTTGGAAGTCGAAGGTTTCCTAAGTTGAAATCTTTCATCAAAACTTTTATTTGGACTGAAGTAATGATGAAATTAGAGTAAACCCTTAAATTGGTCCTCCAAATATTAGTTTGTCACCATATTAGTCCAGCAAACATTCCAGCACCAAATTAGTTCCTCAATAATACAAAACATTACCAAATTCTTTCTTCTGTCTCACCACTTCAGTCCTCCCTAAGGAGAATGTAATGTTTTAGATCTTTGAAGGACAAATTTGGTAACAAAAATCTTTGGAGAACTGATGGGGTGACACTATGGTCTTTGGAAGACCAATTTATGGGTTTCCTCATAAAATTAATACAAATGATATATTGCAAGTTCACATGCACGATTAAAATCCCACTCCTAATATGTGTTACATGTCCAATAGCTAGATACTTGTGGTGTAAGCTTTGGCACTTTTGGCGAATCTTGAATTTGTACAACGAGCTTGGAACATTTTCTGATATGTTGATTCTAATTTGAGGGTACTAAGAGAAAAAGCTCAAGGCACATTGGCAGTGTGCAATATTTGATGTTATGATGCTATTTGGTGCTTTTGGTTAGAGATATATGCCACAATTTTAAAGGATAATTTTTTTACGCTGGTTGTGGGATAAAATAGTCTTTTTCTCTTTAGTAATTTTATGGAGTTCAGATAATAGCTATTTCAAAGTGGTTTCTTTGTTGATCTTGTAAGAGATGTAATATAAAACTATTCATGTGTCTTTACCAAACCGTTTAAGCTTTCGGAATAGTTGGTTCATGACAATGTATCAAAGCCTCTATAACCAAGTGGTCCAAAGCTCAATCCTTGCCACCCCCATTCTTCTACTATAAAAGCGGAATTTCAGCACAAAATAGGTAGGCTTGTGCATTATCCACGTTTCAAACCCAAAAGGTTCTTGCGTGAGGGGCATTTTAAAGATATAATATAAAACTATTCATGCGTCACCTAACAATTTAAGATTTTGGAATAGTTGGTTCATGACACGTCCAAAGCATGATTTCTAGTTAATTAGCTTGTCTTGGGTTTTTTTATTCTCTTTTCATTTTAATATCTGTTGGAAAATCATCTGTTCTTGTACCTTTTTTTTCTCTCTAATCTCTAAAATTTCTTCTTTAGCAACAGAAGAATAAAGCATATTTAAGATTACTTTCATATTTATGATAATAACATGTCAAGTTATATGCTAATAAGGAGTGACATACTCTTCAATAAGGACTAAAAATAACAAACTGAAGTAACTTACATTAGGGATTCTCGAAACAGCAATTTTTGACTGGCCATAGAAGTAGCCAATGCCACCCAATAAGTTTCCAACGGCAGCCTTTCCAACAGATATGGATTCTGAATCCACCTGGAAATACACTACTATGATAAAGAATTTATTTCTATCAAGCATAAACCTATAAATTAATTTACTCAAACAAATGAAACTTGAGATTAGAACACATTGAAAGATCAAAGATGAAAAATAAATCATTGAATATGAGAAAGTGAAACAAAAAGTAAACAAGTCCAAGGATAATAAAAATAGTACCTTCTCAGCCAAATTGAAAATTTTCTCAAACTTTTCATCAAATGCTTGTTCTTTATATGTCAGTTGATTAGACAGTGAGGTGCCTAACATTGAGCAGAAGAACAAACAAACAATTACACACTGACTTAGCAAGCACAGGTCAATTAAAATAAAATATTCTACAAAATGCAGTAAAGAGTAGCCTAGTTCTCTTAAAAATATATAATATTTAAACACAAAATCTTCCAAAGAGACAATCCAAAAGCCGAAAGAAATGTATTTAAAATCAAAGTATCCAAATTTCAGCCATAACATTAATTAACCCAAATGAGCAACACAATTGTATAAGCCCCTATAATGTACATCAACATGAGAAGCAGCTTTTCAGAGCAATGACCAACTCTTACAACAAAGAAAAGAACTAAATTTGTTCTCCTTTTTCATGAAAGTGCATAAAGATACATGCCATATTTTGGTCAAACTCTATGTATAAGTGGGAAAAAAAAAACCTGTAAGATTACTGACACGCTCTTCTACTCTTGAGCTTTCTGAACCAGTTCCAGAGATAAGTACAATATCTGTTGTGAAAGGAAATCCGCCAATAATCTACAACATGAATATAAAAATATGAGAAGCACAGGAGATAGCAAAACCATAAGGGAAAAGGTTCTTTGAAGAGTAGTTGGAGAGATATTTTCATATACATTAATATTGTTAAATGGATCTCAGAAAGTGTATATGCTCTATTACCTGAAAAACGAACACATTTGGAGAATCATCTGATGAGTCAGATAGCTGCAGTCGAGCATGCTTTCTTATCTACTAAGACGTGCACATAAGCAGAGATGTCAAGACAAAATCCAAAAAATAAAAAAAATTCATAACCATAGACTCTTGCATTGCATTAAAATTACATCATCAGATAAATTCAATTGAAATACCCCCCTAACATACTTGCGATGCAAGATTTTCCTCAACAAGATCAGACAAATTGTGAAAGTGAGGAGTGTTAAATCCAGAATAATGCAGTTCCAAATCATCCTGAAAAAGAAAAAAAAAAGAAAAAATAACTACCAGACATAAGATTACAGATAATCAAAAGTGACAATTACTATATTAGGGCAAGAGAGGAAATGGTTTGTATGGGTTAATTAAAGGTGAAAGAAAAAAGGAGGTCTGGAAATTTTCATTTAGGTAGTTAAAATACTAAATAAGGGCATGTTACATGTTTGCTTCAAAATGTGTAGATTCATAGGTTTATAATAATCTTAAACTGTTTCACAGAAGGAATCAGGAATCGTGGATGCTTGTGAAGGGAAGTGTAAGCCAATGACCAGCAACTAACCATAAACTCTATAAGAGTGTCCAGTGGTACTGCGACTACAAGTAACAGAATCTTGAATATTCAACCATAACACTATTTCTCTAGCATTACCGTTGATTTTAAATGTAGTTGCCAATCTCCAATGTCCGGTCGAGAGCCAGATGCGAGCAAAGAATCCTCATGAATGTTGAGGTTCTCTCTACTTACATCTAGAACATTACTACCTTCATCAGCCAAGTAGAAAAAGAGCTGGGCACCACTCCCAAATTCCTCATTCCACTTAGACCTGAGGTTGGACCACCAGAACAGTGCCAGACAACAGATAAAAGTCACTAAATAGAGCATTAATAAGAGATGAAGAGACTCATACAGGGAAACAATAAGAAACTTCAGCTGGAAAATTAAGATCAATGTTGTTAGATTACATGTAATCAACTTATCATTAATTCAGGAAAAGCGAAAGTGATTTAAATTAACAAGGGTGGTATGAGTAACAGACCAGCTATTATCCACTAAGGAAAAGCTGCAAAAGAAAATTGTTCTTCCCCAATACTTATATGAAAGTTGTTAGAGATGTAATATAAAATCATTTATGTGTCTTCTTTTGCGATAATTGGTTCACGACATGGGTATCAAAGCCTATCCTAGTCCTGATGTTGAGCTAATTGCAAATGTCTGGTCTTGGGCTTGAGGGGTGTGTGTTACTATTCCACATCAGGTAGGTATATGCCAAAGTACTCCTCATAATGTCTTAAGCAAACCCCCCCACCCTCCCAAAAAAAAAAAACTAACTTTGGGGTGGAATTAGGCCATGTTCGTTCTAAATTCTAATATGGTATCAAAGCCTCTTGACTAGGTAGTCTAGAGTTCGATACTTGCCACCCTTATTCTTCTAGTAAGAAGTCGAATTTCAGCACAAGGAAGGTGGGCTTGTGCATTGTCAGAGGCTTTTGAGTGAGAGGGCATTTTAGAAATGTAGTATAAAATAATTCACATGTCTTTACCTAACAACTTAATTCATGTGCCTTCACCTTAATGCTCAAGCTCTTGGGATAATTGACTTGTGACAAAAGTGATTCAAAGTTAATAACATTAACATCACTTACTTATCAATTTGCACATCGATTCGAACTGCCCAATCGCCTCCATAACCACTAACGTCCCCCTTTGATTTTAAAAACCCAGTAGCCAAGGTCATGCCATGGTCAACTAGTACTTGATGCCCAAAATCACGTCCATTATGCTTTGTCCAACCATAAGTACTTAGGCCATCCTCATGTTTGCAAACATGTCGCAAGTGATATCTTCCATCCTTCACACCAATCCACATCAATCCAGCAATCAAAGATTTTGGAGTCCTGACATAACAGCCCCCGTCCCCCAAACAAACAAAAAAATTGTGAGAATGCTTGCAGAGTCAAATGTTGTTGAAATTGATATCCTGAACACAAAATCAAAGCCAGACATGGCACACAAATTTTCTATGTGATGCACAATTTGCAGGCATAAATCAGTCAAATTTTAACCAACTGAAAATATATTCAGATTTTACATCATCAACAGTATATAGTATAAGACATAACCACCAAAACAGTCTCCGCTTCCATTTCAGCGCAAACAAATAAATTGAAGATAGTGTGGACACCTCATGGTTTTATCAATAAATTATCGAAATACACCTCATGCATCTAAATACTCCAAATAAAGAAAAAAAAAATATCAGTTCCATTTCAGTGACGATAAAATCATACCTGGCACGAATTCCGAGATAGACATGGGGGCGATAAGTTCCCCAATACAAACTCTCCTTGTGCTGACCTTGAAACTGCGACAACACCAATACCAATTCATTCACGCACGCCAAAATCAACTAATTCTCAAAAAGGATAAAAAGAAAAACAATAACGGAGGAACTTGAAAGTTGACCTGAGGAAGGTCCATTATCTTCGGCGCAGGAAAGGGCGTCACAGCGCGAGGCAGCTGAGATTCTACGGCGGAATTGACGACGTGACGGATCAGAAACACGATGATGAAAAATGCTAAGAAGCTGACACCGAGCACGACTTTGAGATTAGCATTATTGAATATCGGAATGGAGCTTCCGTATTTGCTCCTAACTCTGTGGCGCTTCAACCTATCTCTCCTTTCGCGAAGAGAATCGTCGTCAGCATCGGAGGATGATCTCACTCTATTCCGAACGGTTCTTCTTCCACTTCCGGTCATTTTTCGCCGATGAGAAATTCACAGTGCCGCATGGGTTTAAGTGAAGGAAGTGTTTGCGTAGTGAATGAGTCGGAAGTGCTATTGGAGCTTTCACTGTGAATAGTAGAGAACCCGAAGGAAGGAGACGAGTGACTTCACCAATAACGGGCAATGCATGACCATGGAAATTATACTTGGGCCGAAGTTTGAGCTAACGTATTATTGAATTGGGCCGAATTAATACTAATTTGTCTTAGCCAGAGGCCCAAGTGTGGCTGGCTTCTAAATTCAAATTTCTGAACCGAACTGGGTAATTTAATCATTTAATCTTCGTGCGGAGGGGTTTGTAACTTCAGTAAACTATATATTTAATATAATGGGGGCTAGTTTTTAAAATACAAAGCATTTCGTAATTATTTAATTTTAAAAAAAAATCATTTTTTATGAAAATTAATTTTAGATTTTTAAATTGATTCCTACAAAATTTGTTTTACAATTATTTTTTAGTTTGAGCTTTTTCATGTAATCTTTTTCTTTTTCTTTTTCTTTTTTCTTTTTTTGGTGAATGTAAACAGTAGGGATTACTTATTCATCAAGTGTTAACCAAATTAAAACAAGTTATTAAGTAACTTGTATTCATTTGACTTGTTGAATGTAAATGTAACGTGGCGAGTTTTTAAAAATAGTGTTCAATAACTATATAAATTTTTAAAAATGATTCTTATGGAATTTTTTTAATTTTATTTTTTTTGGAGTTACCCAACCCTAATTATCTCTTTGAGACGAGTTGGCTCCCTCCGGTATCCCCACCAGCTTCGACTCTTTGAGCCGGCTATGAGACTACTTATGGAAATTAATTTTAAAATAAAACTGCATTTTCATGAAAACAATTTTTAAATTAATTATTTTTCTAGTCTATTTTTTTTTTTTGCCATTCTTTATCTTCTTTTTCATTTTCTCTCCATCTAATAGTAATTATTGGTTACGGTAGAATTGTAAAACATGTTAAGATAATTTTAGTTAAAAATATTTAGTCATTTTATACTCAGTCCTTAATCACAAACACGCTTATTTTAGAGAATATGAGCTTTTGATGAAATTGTTAATTACCTGTAAATATGGCAGTGCAAACAGTGGACACCAGTGATAGAGACTAGATATGGAGCACTTAAAAAGGCCGCTACAACGCCCAAATCAATGTTTGTACCAAGTGACTATGGTGTTTACTTAAAGAGAAACATACTTGGAAAATTATTTGAGGCCACTTTATTTATAGGGTGCAAAGAAGATACTTTGCCCAAAAACCCTATGCACCCTTCCTCTTAATTTGCAATAATTTAAGTAAAATTTTCTGTTACAGCATAACTTATTTGGCAGGTGCTATATGTCTTTTCCGTTATGAAAAAAATATTCCAAAAGGTCATTTACTTTGGAGGGAGTTTCTTTTTTTTTGGAGGGAGTTTCTAATTGCTTTAAGGAGTGTAAACAACCAAACATTATAGTTTAAACTTTATGGTGGTCGTGGATTTGTAGTTGGCTGCATTCTTTTTCCAGTGGTGTAATAGCTTTCATGCAAGGAACGTGGTCTCTGTTACCTCTGTTATAGGAGACAATCACGTGCAATCCATGGTCCCATCATTAACTCCATTCTACAAAGTAGGTCATGCTATTTGTCTTTTTAATTGGTTTTTATCAATCAAATAAGGGAAATAATATCAACTGATTTTTACAAATTCTGTATACCTTTCATCTAAATAAATAAAAAAAAGGAATGTTTACTTGCTTTTTAATAATAATTATGATAATATTCCTCCATCCAGTTTTTTTTTTTTTTTTTTTTTTGGTAAACTCTCCATCCAGTTTTTAAATGTTCATTAAATAACTAAAAACTACTTAATTTTTTTAAACAACTTAAGTTTTACACGAATCCTTCACAATCACACAAACAATTTTTAAAATGTAATGGAAAACAAAGTTTAAATTCTACCAATTTATTATTTATTATTATTATACAATATTTTTTTTCGGAAAAATTCGCACTCTTTCATTACACGTGTCACAATTTTACCAACTAAAACTATTTTAAGTGAATTATTTTAATAAACGTTAATTTAATCAAACATAATTATATTTTTAGAAAATAAAAAAACTATTTAATAGTTTTTAATTCTTGTACAATAATGGTTTTAGTTACACATCAAACACGATATTTCAATCATTAAATTAAATTTATTTAATGTTTAAAAAATCAAACTTTAGTATGTGTTACCATATAACATTGTTTTAAAAATTAGACTAGGTGCGGCTGGTGGATCGAAAATTTGGTTAGATTACCAGTAAGGCAACTCAGAAAATCAGATGATCTAATAATCGGCTGAGTCCATCCAAAATCAATAAAAACAATTATTTGTTATCGTAAAGAACCATATAATATTTAAATATTTTTATTAATAGAATGGGGTTGTGAAGATTAAATTCATGACAACTTAGTCATGTCTCGACTCTGATATCATGTAAAGAATAATTTCAATTCAAAAACTTAAGTTGTTGGTTGAAACTATATTAATGATTAATAGTTATTTTTTGTTTTTATTTGTATAAAATTAAATATATATTTTTAGATAAATAAAGACTCACATATCAATAATTATTATTATTTAATCTTTTAATACTGATTTTCATCCTGCATGACATAAAATATGACCTTTTATGTTATCAAAAAAAAAAAATGACCTTTTATATTAATTTAAAATTTTACTTGATTTAATTTTTAAAATTTATATAATTTATTACTTAATATATTACATAATATTAAATATTATATTTAATTATCATCTGCTAATCAGCATTCAACCACAGTTGGATTCGTAAACTTAAAAAGTTAAATTATTGCTTATATTCACCATTTTTTTAATCAATCAGTTTTAATTCGTTAATTATATAAGCCGTACAAATGTGATAAAAAAAAACTAAATTAACACATATATGTTAGATAGTTGGGCTCCCATGAGCCGTGAAAATTTAAAAACAATAATCCGGCTTCGAATGGTTGAAAGGAGTCCCTAACACACATGTGATAGTTATAATGGTAACTATAAAGTGGGTTTGGTTATGAATTGTATAAATAAAAATATTTATATAATTAAGTTTTAGTTTTTGAGGTTATAATACAATTTAAATTAAATTAAAGATAAACATACTTTTATTTATATTTTTTACATTAAAATAATAATAATGAAGGATATACCGTTATAGTCGTAACAAATAGGTACCGTACTACTACCAACCACTTTTTCCAACTTAAAGCAAGAAGCATAGTCAACACGAGATCAACTTAGATAAGATCCACACTTCCATGATGACGTGCTTGAAATGGAAGGTTGTGGTGGTAACTGTCGCATGCGTATGAAACCATGATGATTACTAAGCTTTTCAACTCTCACTTTTCCATTTATATATAATAATTGGATTATTTTTATCTTATCTTATAAGAAAATGATTGTGTCATATTATAGAAATAAAATTATAAGTGAGATTCACATTTAAGATGAGAAAATAAAAATAAATGAGGAACCCACCTTCATTTTGTGTATGTAGAAAGCTTGTTTATCTTATGCAACATAAGATAAATATAACTCACAATAATTAAAGGAAAATATATTAGGTCCAGTTAAAGTTTGGCTTAAATAGGTTAAGTTTGTATAGAAATTTAAGGATTGTCCTGGTCTATTAGTCTATGTAAGACGAAATTATAAGTATGATTTAACTTATATTTAAAAAATAAAAGTTGTTGTCTTTTTTTTTTTGAGTTACCCAATCCTAATTTTCTCTTTGAGATGAGTTGGCTCCCTCCGGTATCCCCACGAGCTTCGACTCTTTGAGCCGGCTATGGGACTAATCCAGAGTGCGGGGGAACAGTGATGGCTAAAGGTTCAGCCCCCTCCCCAAGAATGCATTCAGCGGGAATCGAACACATATCCAACCCCACTTAAAAGTTTTTGTCTAAGTCTATTAAACATTCAATAATTAAAAAAATATAAAAAAATATTAATTTATTATTCAAAATTATTGAAATAATGATTCATTTATTGAATTTAAAATAAATAATATAGTATAGGTCGGCATGTAAGCTTGTAGACCCGTCATATAAAAGAAAGTCTTTGGTCTATTTTCTAAATAGGATTTTTGTAAGGTCTGAGTCTATTCTATTTAACTATATGTAATAGGTTGAGTTGTAGGGGCCGGCTGACCCATTTACAATCTTAAACATTATATACTTACACTAAAATCGTACTTTTGTTTTTTCTTTTTCTTTTAAAAACAATGACCCCACCATTTATGGGACAACGATCAAATTGTCACTGTTTATCTAAAATATTACCAATATTACCAAAATGCCATGCTCCAGAAATTTTTTACCAAAGTGTCACGTCATTAATCTCGCTATGCCACATGGCGAGTTAGGATTGGCCACGTGGCAGCACCTGGTTGGCCACGTAACTAGCTGCGCAGTGCAGATAGATTACGTGGCAGACAAACCCCGCCACCGTCTGCCACGTGGCCTAAAGCGCTGGGCTAAGTGACGTCTTAAATGAATTGAATTAACAACACTAAAAATAATTAATTCATTATTTTACTGTCAATAATTTAAATTAATATACACCAAATTAAACTAAAATTATTAACAAACATTAATTTAGTTTAACTTATTAACACTACAAAATTTAAAAAAAAAAATTAAGCGTTACAAATAATTTAACTTACAATAAATTAAATTAAATTAAATAACAATAATTTAATACTACTAAATTTAATTACTTAATATTTACAAATAACTTAACTTAACATATTGTTAATTAAAATAAAATAATTAACAATCCAAAAAATAAGTAATTAACAGTTATAACACAAATAATTAATCGTTATGATCAATTTAAATTAATATAGATTAAATTAAAGTATTTCAATTAACAAACATAAAATATTTTACATTAATTAACAACCCTTGATTAAATTAAGCAACGTAACAGTTTACAATTTGTTAACATAACATAAACTACATTAAATTATTTTAGTTAACAACCCTAAAAATAACTAATTAATTATTCTAAAATAATTAA